TTTGCTTAAGATAGCGGCGGTCGATCACGGGCGCCCCGCAGTTGTGCCCCGATGTCCGTCCGGTGTCGCGAGCCAAGCCGGGGTCGAGCCTGGATGGTTGCCGGGATGGGATAGGCGACAGCCGCGCACCAACAGGAGGCGTTTGGGACCTCTCCAAGCGGCAGAAGTCGCCGCGGACGAAAACACCGTCGTTATAATTTAAAGTAACTTGTGGAATATGTATATATGTGTCTGTGTGTACCCTGTGAAAGTTCACAGTTTAAGTGCCAAATAAGGGAACACCTTTCATCCGTTACCAGGATTTTTTTTCTTCAGTTTTGCGAAACTGTTCCTTGACTTCAACTTAAATATATATAGCGGAATAGCAAGAGCTCTCCGGGCTTTGTACAAGCAATAGATTTCCCCCCCCCCCCACTTAGGTGAAAGGTTAAAGTTTATCGTATGTAGCTCGGGATCAATATGATCGGTGTCCCTGGTTTCCATCTGGTGACAATGAGGCCTCGACTCAACGACCCAACCTGGACGGAGTTTCTTACAAACAAACAATGTAGATGACAAGCACCCCCTTCTCCCCACCCCGCCCCCACCGCCTCCCCAAGTCTCGTATAAATCACATTTATGTCTTTGCTCGTGGCACAAACAGCTGATTGGGTTCAGATTGAAGGAGCGACGCCGCCGCCGCTGCTGCTGCTGCTCTGAGTCACGGAGCAGGAACCAAACGGCGAACGTCTTTTCCCATCTCCCCCCGCCTCTTGATTTTCCAATTAATTCCATACTTTGTCAAATAAAATTCTCGGACCGCGCGATCAACGATCCGACTAAAAATAAATAAAAATCACGTTTCGAGTGACGCGCGGCTGCACCCGCGCGCTTGCGATGCGCCGCACGCGTGCGCGCGCCCTGTAAACCCGCTCGTATATCTCAAATATAAATGTTGGGAGAGTTTTTTTTCTCTTCGTTTCCCTCCCCCCCCCTTTCATCCACCCTGGAAGTGATTTATTTTTGTGTTAGATTTACGTGGCACGCAGCCTTGGCTGTAACCCTGGCCGTTAAATTAGAATGTTCATCGCCGCCGCCGCCACGCGCTCGCAAGTCAAACGAGCAAGTCGTCTCGCGCCTAATGGTCGTGCCGTCGTTGGAAAGAGAAAACCGTGGCTCCGACTGCCGCGGAACGTTTATATTTGCTTAAACCGAGCTCGGCTGCGGCTTTGGAAACATCGCCGTTGTTGCGCGTGCTTAACGCAGCCGTCAAGTTTGTTTTTGAATTAAAAGCAGTTTTAATCGTGTTAATCCATCGTCATTCTAGGCTAACGTCTTGCGTGCCTGTAAAAAAAAGGCCTTGGGCTTTGCTTATCTCACACGTGTTTTGGCAGAAGGCAGCGGTGAAAAATTCTGGGTGCTCTGGAGAACGCTGCCTGTGATGAAAGTCATCGGCAGCGACTTCACGCACACACAACTACAATGACCTCCGTTGGCCACGAAGTGGCGGTGACATCATCCACGGCGCTTGTACCAGGCTGTGTGCACTATAAGGCCACGTGAAGTGTCGAATGCTCCCTGGCAGGAGGTCACGGGACAGACCCAGGTGCCGTGGGTTGACTCGCTGAGATGACTGGTCGATGCACCACCTATGCCCCCCCCCCTACTGTGCCAACTTGCTGTGTTTTAACCGCCCGGCGCTCCGCTCGTTATTGTGAGCGTCGCTCCTCTTGCCCTCCGTAATTACCACTAAACTACACACACAAAGACACGCGTGCGCACACACACCCACGCAAGTGCACGCCTTTGGCATTTGCGTCGTTCTTATTGTTGGGCTGTGAGCGCCACCACTTAATAGTACGCCAGTAGGGAAGGATGTTGTTTTGTATAATCCCCAATAAGGCAGCATGACTAAAATCACAATTGGCAACATCGAATTACTCGATCCCAATTAAACAATCTCGCGTGGTCATTTGTGAAAGCGTGAACGATGACGTCACGGGGATCTTTAACCCATCCGCTGCGAAGCCAGGAAAGCAGCCGGCACGTGACGGCAACTTTACAGTTGATTCGCACCGCAGCATTAACCGGGGCGGCAGCTGGAACTGTCGTCCAACCGCGGCCCTCCGCAACGATCGGCGATCGCGCCACCGCCGGACAACGTGTCACGCGCGTGGGACTAAAAAATATTTTTGCGATTCAAATACGTTGTCGTGGGTCGGAGTAGGTGAGTGGGGCAGCGGTTAGCGTGTAGCAATTTTTTTTTTTACTCGGTGACCCGAGGTTCTCTTGCTGCCAGCAAGCCCAGCATCGGTCGCGAGTGACATCTCAAACAGTCCTGTCCCTGCCGCCACCCCACCCCCATCCTCCTCCACCCTCCACCTTCACCAACCCACGTTGATCAGAACGGTGAAGTATGGTTACACGACCGCCATTACCAACGTCCCTCGTGTGGGCGGTCTTCATCAAGCAGTGGAATCGCCCAGGGACCATACACAAAATCGATTTCCGTGAACGTGTCGTTGCACATAATTGGGTCGGGTACACGCTGGCACCGCCAGAGGTCCGCGACGTTCGCAACGGCGGGACGAAACTTATCGATCCTTGACTTGGATCGTCACCATGAATCGTTGGTGATTTAATTTAGCCGGGTGAATTGCGACGTCGCGAGCAGCACGCACACACCGCCACGTTAAATCGCTTTCACGGCCAGCCACTGTTCGACAATTAATGCGATTGCTAACTCGTTAGACGAGTTGCTGACGATGAATATTGCTCGCCGCTTTCCACTTGAGGAAGTGCTTTGTAGCTTTATTTACGATGTGATCCCGCAACGGAGAGAAAGCAGAATTCGTCGGAGAGGGCCTTGGTTCATCCCCAACAATGACTCATTATTCCTTTTGAAGTTTCCGTTTTGAAAACCAGCGACGTGATCAACGTTTGTTGTTTTCCACCGTTCCCGGGAATTAATGAGACTTGAGCGTTTGTTTCGGAGTCTTGGGAGCGGGAGGAATTTTCTCCCCAGAATTTACGGCCTAATTACAGGCAGACCACCAACCCAACCCAAAACAAGTATAATTAGAATAGATTTTCAGTGTCCATTAGCGGCCGGCTTCGCCAATTCTCAAACTTATTCCTTGATGCGGTTCCGCGCGAGTGATCGGCGAACGTGACCTCGACCGCGCGCGTTCTTTTGCGGTTTTGCATGTCACGTTCGGCACGATGCCCGACGTTTCGCTCCACGTGCCCGGGACGCCGGGACGGGGCGGGCGGGGGGGGGGGTGGTGGTTGTGGCGGGGGGGGGGTGGTGGTGGTGGCGGGGGGGGGGGTGGTGGTGGTGGCAGGGGGGGGGGTGGTGGGCTCATTCAGGAACCGAACTGCGGTTCGCTTTCAGCTCGCGGTGCCGAACGAAGCCGCGGCACAGCCGCACGACGCGTCGGGGGAGAGAGGTCAGCGACGTTCCGTCAAGTTTTTTTTATTTTTTTACCCCAGCGCTTTAGAGCTAGGGTCTAGGAGACCATGCGAACGCTTTCAGACGTTCGCTCGCGGGAGCGGGGATATGTCCTGGGGCGAATAGCGGCACAGCCAGTGGTGGTCACCTGCGTGTATGGGTGTGTCCTCGCAAGCGCGCGTGCGTGCGTTTGTGTAAGCCAGCACCTGCCGCGTTGTGTTGTACACCAGACGGGCGACTCTGGGGCAGAGCGAGCGGCTCGCCAATTGGAAGGTCGTGCGATCAGATCCCGGTTGGGGAGGGCGGGTTAACTAACTACTTTTTTTATTTTCCTAGGAAAGGCCCCAACTGAGCTACGTAGCTCTTTTCCAAAAGCGACCTGGTTATTGCAAATACATAGCCCAACAAAAGGTGGCTTATCGCGTGAAAACTTATCGCGGCCAGATACTCTTAAACGCGTGACGTTGATTCTAAATGTGGAGGGAAACACCGGAGGACCCGGATAAAAATCCACGTGACCACGGGGGAGAGAGAGACACGCAGACTCCGAAATATACAACAGCAGACGCCAGGGTCGGGATCGAACTTACAACCTCCTGTGTACCAGGGCGAGGTAGTTAACATCTTTCCACCGCGACTCCATCCCGTCAACATTCTTCCCGAGTCTATGGAAATGGGCAACCACAGCTGCTGATGCAGATGGCAGAGACAACGAATACAATTTAACATTCAGGTGGTCAAGCCCAGATAACCACGTCTCCTTATTTGTATTTTTGGATTGACTGCATTGCATCGCTATTCTGGATGACCACAGCCGCAACACTGCTACTGCAGAGTTTTAACATTTTTCCATCTGGGCATCATCGCGTATCCGAATCTGCTGCTGCCGTAGTTTGTGCAGTGGACGAGGTTTAGGGTTGGACCATGAACGAGCTTTGTTGGGGGATCAAATCCAGAGGGTTTCTTCTGCGTTGGCTGTGTCACCGTAACTTCACGAGACACCAGATTTTTTTTTGGGTGGGGGGGGATCTGCAAAGAATCGAGGCCTGGAATTTTTTTGTGTTATTCCTTGTTTTTTTATCTCTGTTCCTGCTTTGGCTCATTTAGTTATTTATTATTATTCTTTTTTAAAAAACTTATTTGCTCCACATGTGAAAAATGTGCTGATCTGTAGTCCGGGCAAAATAACCCAGTGGTGGCGTGCCTGTGTGTAGCCCTGCAGCCGTGTGTGAGTGCGTGTTGGTGTGCGTGTGTGGGTGGGGAGTGGCAGTGTAGCGGTTAGCGCGCTGCGCTACAATCCTGACGACCCAGGTTCGATTCTCGCTCACGGTCAACACCTTGACGATTATCTGAATCCGGCGGTCCTGGGCCTCCCCTGGTGCGGTGTGTAGTAAACATCGCCACTGGGGAGACAAAGGCGGTCTGGTGTGGTGCTGGCCACCCACCCCCTCGTGCGTGCCTTTCCGGCCTTCGTAGGTGCCTCTCGCTGCTAACAGCACTTGCCCCAACAGTCCGCTAAGGCTACACGGGGGGGCGTCTTTGTCTTTGTGTCGACGTTTCTGTCTGGTAGGACGAAGAGGAGGAGATCAAGCTGGAGATCAACATGCTGAAGAAGTACTCGCACCACCGCAACATCGCCACCTACTACGGCGCCTTCATCAAGAAGAGCCCACCGGGGCATGACGATCAGCTTTGGGTGAGGGGCCACTCACCTACTCACCACTCGCCTACTCACCGCTCATCTACTCACTTACTCACCTACTCACCGCTCACCTACTCACCGCTCACCTACTCACCTACTCACTGCTCACCTACTCACCATTCACCTACTCACTGCTAGCCCACTCACCTACTCGCTGCTCGCCTACTCACCGCTCACCTACTCACCTACTCACCGCTCACCTACTCACCGCTCACCTACTCACCTACTCACCGACTCACTGCCCACCTACTCACCTACTCACCGCTCGCCTACTCACCGCTCGCCTACTCACCGCTCGCCTACTCACCGCTCACCTCACATATTCACTGCTCACCTACTCACCGACTCACTGCCCACCTACTCACCTATTCACCACTCACCATTCACCTACTCACCGCTCACCTACTCACCGCTCGCCTACTCACCGCTTGCCTACTCACCTACTCACCGCTCGCCTACTCACCGCTCGCCTACTCACCATTCACCTACTCACCTACTCACCGCTCACCTACTCACCATTCACCTACTCGCCTACTCACCGCTCACCTACTCACCATTCACCTACTCGCCTACTCACCGCTCGCCTACTCACCATTCACCTACTCACCTACTCACCGCTCACCTACTCACCATTCACCTACTCGCCTACTCACCGCTCACCTACTCACCATTCACCTACTCGCCTACTCACCGCTCACCTACTCACCATTCACCTACTCGCCTACTCACCGCTCGCCTACTCACCATTCACCTACTCACCTACTCACCTACTCACCGCTCACCTACTCACCATTCCCCTACTCACCTATTCACCGCTCGCCTACTCACCGCTCGCCTACTCACCGACTCACTGCTCACCTACTCGCCTACTCACCGCTCACCTACTCACCACCACAACATCGCCACCGACTACGGGGCCTTCATCAAGAAGAGCCCGTCGGTTGTGATGTCTGCCGCCCTCTTCTGGGCAACTGTGGACTCCGGCTTCCTATCGGCGGATTTGCAGGCAGAAGTCCACGTGACGAGCCGCACCACCGATTGGCGCGCCCGGCTACGCACGGCGCGAAAGAAGTTCAACACACGTACTTAACGAATGTTGAACACCAACTCGTCCTCCACCCTCTTGCCATCCCCCCCCCCCCCCGCCCGCCCTCTTGCCGTCCGTCGCGTCAGCTGGTGATGGAGTTCTGCGGCGCCGGTTCGGTCACCGACCTGGTGAAGAACACGAAGGGGAACAGCCTCAAGGAGGACTGGATCGCGTACATCTGTCGGGAGATCCTCAGGGTGAGGCGCACATTGTCCACCTTTGACTTACGCCAGTCTCCTTCGCTGCATTTCAAACCAACGGTTGGGGAGGGGAAGGTGTGTCCACTAAAACTACAAAGATTATTTCTAACCAGGTGAGGCCCCGCTGATCCAGGCAGCTTTGTTTCAGAAGCGACCTAGCCGTCACGAACGATAGCCCCAACGGAGGTGGCTCATCGTCGTCGTGTGGACATTAATAGCAGCCACAAACACTCTGAACGCGTGACGTTGATTCTGAATGTGGAGGGAAAACCAGAAGATACGTCGGGGTCAGGGATCGAACCCACGACGTCCTGTGTACCAGGCAAGGGAGATAACACCTCGCCACCGTGGCTCCCGTCTCCGAACCCGGCGGCCCGTGTTGGATTCCCGCTTGCGGCCACAGCACCAGTAACGATGATCCGAGCTGCTCCCGGGACTCCCCTAGGTCAACACGTGCTGTCAAACCCCCAATGGTTTCAAATGTGCGGCAGCCCCCTCGCACCGATGATGTCTTATCGGCGAATGTGGCCTCCCACCCTCTGAAATATTAGTGAAGAAACACCGCGCTATACGGCCCGTACAGCGCGGTGTTCCTGCACTCCCTGGGCTTCCGTGGAATGTCTCCCGTCGCCGATAATTAACGATGTGCCCGCCCGGTGCCTTGTCTGCCACCCCCACCCCGCACGACACTGCAGGGCCTGGCTCACCTCCACGTCCACAAGGTCATCCACAGGGACATCAAGGGACAGAACGTCCTTCTCACCGAGAACGCCGAGGTGAAGCTCGGTGAGTCTCCTCCATGCTAAAAAAAAAAAAAATGGTAACGTCGCAGCCCTGCAATGGCTTTCTCGCGCCACTGCCGGCGGAAGGGCCCTCCGCTAGAAGGAGCTGCGTAGAGACCCTCCGGAGGGTCCTTGGCCTACTCCTCCATGCCGGCCACCACACTGCGACCCCGCCGTTCGACTGACTGCGGGTGCGCCCGTTCGTGCTGCGGGCCGGCGGCGGATGGTTCGAGGGGGACTTGGCCATTCATGGGACCGTTCGGCCGTGGCGGCAAGCCCGCCGCCACCCCCGCGTTAGCCGTCACAATCCACACGCGCAGCCCCATTTGGGCCATTCCACCGACGACGGGCGACGGACCTCCCCCGCACGCCGTGCGGGTCGTGTGCGTCGACCGTCCTGCTTGCTACGGGTTCGTGACGGCCCAGTGGGAGGGTGTCGGGTAAGGGGGGTGGTTGGCGAAGGACTGTGCGGGCATGGGGGGGCACGGGGCCGTGGGAGAACAGCGACGCAGCACAACGGTGCGACGTGTAACAATCGTCTTTGTCGCGGGAGCGAGAGAGATCGCGATCCCCCCTCGTAGCGGTCGTCGCGGCTCACCCTCTTGTTCCCCGCGGCTGCCCCGCCGCTCCCCCCTGCCCCCTCCCCAACCTGCAGTCGACTTTGGCGTGAGCGCCCAGCTGGACCGCACGGTCGGGCGCCGGAACACGTTCATCGGCACGCCCTACTGGATGGCGCCCGAGGTCATCGCGTGCGACGAGAACCCCGACGCCACCTACGACTACCGCGTACGTCGAAGCGCTCGCGGCCACGGAGGCCGTCGGTGGGGCCCAGGGCCGGATGGCGGCACTTGTAGGCCCGAGCGGGCTTGGGCTTCGTAGGCCCTCCGGTGATAATCGCTTGCCGTGGTGGCGACCGCCGCTGTCGCTCGCTTGGTTCACGCGTGGCGCAGACATCGCACGTCTTCCCTTGCTCTCTGTTGAGAATGAGATTTTGCCGAAAAAACACAATTTGAAGGTGCGATTGCTATTTTCCGTCTCTCCACGTCTCTCTGAAACTAAACTAAACCACTTTTATTCCACCAGGTAAGGCCCACTGAGCTCTGTAGCTCTTTTTCATGAGCGACCTGGCCACATTTGATGGCTCAACAAAAGTGGCTTGTCGGGTGGAAATTCATAGCAGCCAAATACTCGAAATACTTTAAAGGCGCGAGACGTCGATTCTAAATGTGGAAGGAGCAACCAGAGGACCCGGGGGAAATTCCACGCGACCACGGGGAGAGCAGGCGTCAGGGCTGAACCAATGACCTCCTGCATACCGAGCGAGGGAGTTAACATCTCCCAGCCACCGCACCATCGCTCTGGGCACGCTGCGACGTCATTCGCATACTTCGCGAATCGCTCGACAGAAATTTAATTTGCGGCGGGGGGTGGGGGGGGGGGGTGGAGGTGGGCACGGGTTTTCGTAGTGCCGTGGCCAGTAGTGCCCGTGGGGTGGTCAACTTTAAAGCAACAACCGCCCCCTCGGCCTTTTTCTGGTAACGATGAACAGGGACGCAGGCGGCTTTTCATCTCTCCCCCGCGGTGGCGAGCTGCTTATTTATTTATTTCGTTGCTGCTCCGATTCAAAGCACATGGCCACGACCGAGGCGCTGCAGGTTTTCTTTTTCCCGCTCGTGGAAGAATAAGGACAATGGACGACTCGTCGCCGGCGGTTGTTTGACTATTCTTCACCACCGCCGCCGGTTGGTGCGGTTTGGCGAATGGGGGGGGGGGGGGGGGCGAGTGATGGGAAGCGTGGGGGGGTGGTGGAGATGGGCGTGCCGGACCGATTTAAGTAAGTCGCACGTAGAGCACGTGACGTCGTCCGTCTTTCCCGTTGCTTTTCAAATGGGGCAATCGATATCGCAAAATAACGGCTCTGAAAACTCTCGCTCGGCCGTCGAGTTGGGTGCCACGGTGGCGAGATGTTAACCACCTCGTCTGGTACGCAGGAGGCGGTGGTCTCGATCCCGACCCTGACGCCTGCGTGTCTCTCTCCCCGTTGTCGCGTGGATTTTTCTCCGGGTCCCCCGGTTTTTCCCTCCACGTGTAGATTCAACGTCACCACGCGTTTAGAGCATTTGGCGGCTCTAAATTCTCACGTATGACGATATAAGCCGCTTCGATGAGCCATCGTGTGTGTGGCCAGTTCGCTTCTGACAAAGATCTGTATTGCTTTGAGTTTCTTGAACGCTTACGCGGAGAGGTAAACGAGGCGGCTGCGGAGCCGGGGAGGATACGCGGCGGTTTTAACCTCGCTTCGTGTTTATTCCCGACAGAGCGATCTGTGGTCCCTGGGCATCACTGCGATGGAAATGGCAGAAGGCGCCCCCCGTGAGTTACCCGTCCTGTTGCTGGTGGTGGCCATGCAACGCGCACGTTCTCTCGTCCAGAGAACACGCCACACGCGTGTTCTCTCGTCCAGAGAACACGCCACGTGCCTGTTCTCTCGTCCAGAGAACACGCCACACGCACGTTCTCTCGTCCAGAGAACACGCCACACGCGTGTTCTCTCGTCCAGAGAACACGCCACACGCGCGTTCTCTCGTCCAGAGAACACGCCACACGCCTGTTCTCTCGTCCAGAGAACACGCCACGTGCCTGTTCTCTCGTCCAGAGAACACGCCACACGCACGTTCTCTCGTCCAGAGAACACGCCACGTGCCTGTTCTCTCGTCCAGAGAACACGCCACACGCGTGTTCTCTCGTCCAGAGAACACACCACACGCGTGTTCTCTCATCCAGAGAACACGCCACACGCCTGTTCTCTCGTCCAGGGAACATGCCACATGCGCATTCTCTCGTCCAGCACTTGTGCGGGCAGCAAGTGGGTTGGTGGATCACCGCACACGGATGTTTCAAAGGTCCCTCCCCCCTCCCCCCTCCCCCCTTCCCCCCACCCCCCGATCGTGGGTGGGGGTCAAAGAGGAGCCGTTCCCCCGTCCCCCCCCACTCCTCCCCCCCCCCCCCGACTCGCCTGGAGAAGGGGGCACGGCAAAAATGTAGACTCCACCCATTCCGTCTGTATGGGATAGAGCGTTGCCCCCTCGCGCACGCACGCCCGCATCACGTGTGGGTTATCTCCGGGTGCTGCGGTTTCCTCCCACGTGTACACAGACTCAGTCGTTGGCCGATAACAAATCAATATATAGAGAGAAACGCAGAGCTTGGGGGGAATTTGCCACATGGCTGAGTCGCTCGCCATCTTAACCCCGCCCCCCCCCATCCCCCAAAAAATACAACTCGATTAGGATCGCAATTAGCAAATCATCTGCCCCCCCTGTTGCTTAAAAAGTTGGTGGGACGCTCCTGAAAAACGGGCGTCACGAGACTCGGTTGAGGCTTGCCCCGGGTGAATGAGCGCAATAGTTAACGAGTGTCTGCCAATCCGTTCCTGGTTTTTGTTGCGTCCGAAAAACTCTCCCCACAGCGCTGTGCGACATGCATCCCATGAGGGCCCTCTTCCTCATCCCGAGGAATCAGCCTCCTCGACTCAAGTCCAAGAAATGGTACGCGGTGGGGACGCGCGTGTCGATTCGATGTGCGTGTCAGACGCGTGCGCCACTTGGAAGCGTGTGTCGATTGGACACGTGCGTCGCTTGACGTCGCTTGACGCACGTGTCGCTTGACGCCTGGTACGGTCAGCGGTTTTAACGTGTTGTGCTGCAAACCCGGCGACGCCAGTTCGATTCCCGCTCACGGCCACAGAGAACCGGCGAAGGTTATTCGAACCGGTCCTGGGCCTCGCCTAGGTCGACTCGGCCTCAAGTTAGTACCCGGTGCGGTGTGCGAACATCGCCACCGCGGAGACAAAGGCGGTCGGGTGTGGTGCTGGCCACCCACACCGGCCACTCCCCCACCCCTCCACCCTGACGAACGAGCGCCTCGTCCTCGCCGCGCAGGTCGAAGCGTTTCCTGAGCTTCGTCGAGAACTGCCTGATCAAGAACTACACCCAGCGGCCCTCGACCGAACAGCTGCTCAAGCACCCGTTCATCCGTGAGCAGCCCAACGAGCGCAATGTGCGCATCCAGCTCAAGGACCACATCGACCGCACGCGCAAGAAGCGCGGAGAGAAGGGTGCGTGCCGCCCCCCTCCCCTCCCCCCGCGTACACGCAGGCCGCTCCTTCGCCGGCCGTCCGTCCGTCCGTCGCCTGTGCGCACCGCCACACGCCGGCGTTTGTGTGCCGCCTCTTCCGCTGGCGGGTCGGGAGCGCGGCGGTTAGCGCGCTGCCGCGCTACGAACCCGGCGACCCGGGTTCGATTCCCGCTCGCGGCCACCAGCGCCAGCGACGATTATCTGAACCGGTGCTGGGCCCTCCCCTAGGTCGACACGGCCTCAAATGAGTACCCGGTGCGATGTGTAAAAACATCGCCACCGGGGAGACAAAGGCGGACGGGCGTGGTGCTGGCCACCCATCTCCTCGTGCACCCTGTCTGTCTGCCTGGTTCTCGGTTGGTCTGTGTGTGTTTGTCTTTCTGTGAGTGTTTTTTCGTCTGTATGTCTTGTCTGTCTGCTGGTTGGTTAGTCTGCCCGTCTATATGTATGTTGGTCTTTGTGTCTACTGGGCTGTGTGTTTATCGGTCTGTGTTTGTGCGCGCCTGTACGTACGTCAGTGTTGGTCACCACTCCGGAAGGGGGAATGGGAGGAATGATTGTTTCTCTGCATCCCTGTGGCAGATGAGACAGAGTACGAATACAGTGGAAGTGAGGAAGAGGAGGAGACGGACGCACACCAAGAAGGAGAACCAAGGTTTGCTACTTTGCTCATGACGGCACACAGGGCTCTACTCTGACCTCACGCCTGCACACATGGCGTACTCTAGACTCGCGCTGGCTACACGGCCTACTCTAGGCTATGTGTGTACTGGCGTTTACTGGCGTACACACATGGCCTTAGAATAACGTGACGGGATCTTTAACGTCAAATAGACGGATTGTAATTTGTGTGGCTCATAAACGGGGCGGCATTAACCAGGGCAGCCGTTGGGTTCTAGCCGCGAACCTCTGCAACGGGCGGCAAGTGCGCTACCTCCCGCTCGGCCATGTGACACGTCCCTTGACCGTTGACCTTTCGACCCGCCGCCCCTCCGCGCGGCGCCCTCGGCCCTCGGTTTCCTTCCGCGCGCAGCTCCATCGTGAACGTGGCCGGGGAGTCGACGCTGCGAAAGGATTTCCTGCGGCTGCAGCAGGAGAGCGGGCGCGAGCGCGCCGACGCCGTGCGGCGCCAGCAGCAGCTGCTGGCCGAGCAGCAGCTGCAGCAGCGCCAGCGCGAGGAGGTGCAGCGCCAGCTGCAGGCCGACCGCCAGCGCCGACTGGAGCTGCAGCGGATGCAGAGGAGGCACCTCGAGGAGGTGAGGGCGAGGGGGCGGAGGGGCGGGAGATGTGGGGAACAAAGTGGAGACGAGGAGGATACTGGGGACACATCGAGACTGAGATAGGTACGTAGGGACATAGTCAGGGGTATAGAGACACGGGGATGGAGACAAGAGGATGGAGACGGGGGGGATGAAGACAGGGAGATAGACATGGAGCTGGAAAAATACTTGACGAGGACGGAGACATCGGGGGGAGGGGGGGTGGACACGGGGACGGGGAGAGACTGAGATGGACACAGGGAGATCAGAAAAGGTGGCTGTGGAAGTTGGATCCTCTACACCCCTCTCTGCTCCTCTCCTCTGCCCCTCTATACGCCCCCACGCCTGCCCGCTGCTCGCTCGCTCACGGCACTTGCCAGATTCGCTCGTCGCGTAGCGCCGTCCGACGTCTGCGTCGGGGCCAAGGGTCAAGCGCGACTTCACATCTGGAGGCTCCGCTCCCTCGCCCGCCTCCCTTGCCCCCTCTTCCCTCTCCGCCTCCACCGTCCGGTGCCGCCATCGGCGCCTCCACCCGCAGACAGGCCCGCCCCCGCAGCGTGGTTTTTTTATTTTCCCGAGGGGATCCCCTGCGGAGCTGGCCTGGGGCGGTGGGCGACGCAGATGTAACCCGGAGGCGCATGGCCATTCCCTCACCGCCAGCGTGTATCTACTGCTATCGGTGGTGAAGCGTGGTCGAATGAGCGCATGCTACGGTTTGGCGGCTATGATCGCGACGTCGCCGCTCTTTGCCACTCCACGGTTGGATGAAGTGTCTTGCCCACGTCACGTCATGGGGATTGGTTGACCGTACTTCACCAAGCTGGCCTGTGTTGGTGAAGGCAAGAGGTGAGGAGGGTGGACGTTCAGGACCTGTTCAGAACTCGCCCGCCACCGATGTTAGCCGTGTGCAGGAATCTAACTCGGGTTGCCCATTGCGTCTCCGCTCAACCCCAAGAGGCAGATCAGAATATGTTTATGTACGCGTCGGCTTGGGCTGCGAGGTGGCCAAAAGATGGCAGCACACGAATGTATTCTTGACTCCATCTGTGCGGAAGCTTTGAGTGTGCGTGTACCCTGCCCGTACGTGTGTCGGCTTTCTCCGGGCACACGGATTGAACAAGAACAAAATCAAAACCGTGCACACTGAGGAAAGTGAAAAAAGAACCTTCCAACACACTCATCAATCATCCAGCCTTCTTCCCTCACCCCCTCCTCCACCTCCGCCCTCCACTCTGCTCACCGAACCCATATCTATGCTGGAGCAGCCAGTTGCTAGCTCTGTACTTGATAAAAAGATTTAACGCAAAGCAGTTGGGGAGGCGATTGATGATCCAGCACTCTCTGATTCGCTCCAGTCGCTCGCTCGCTCCTCACTCGCCCGGCGGTCAGTCGCCTCCTAGCATTACCCTTCTGTTGCTACTACCTCAGTAACCGTTGGCCTGAACCATTGCTCATTGATTCCTCCACCGTTGCCGAGGACTCTGTTTTCCCCGACTGTTACGTCTCATCCACGCTGTTCAAGCACCACACTGCAGGTCACGACAACAACGCACTCACTCGCTTGGCCGTCCATTCGCTCATTCACTCACTCACTCGCCCACTCACTCGCGTGCGTCCATCCGTAACACGGGGTCAGCAATAACTTCCTTACCGGTGATCCAATATGAACACGACTTTCGGATGAAGTCGTCTTGCTGCTTGCGACTTCGCCCTCGAGAAAAACTGGCCCAGTCGATCCGAGGCTGGCGCGGCAATACTTGTAAGATACGTGAACCATGCAAACGGGGCAATTTGCTAACATGCAAATACATTGCTCCCCGACTGCTAACAGTCGGCGACCGTGCCGCCCATTAGATGATTAACCACCTCCCCAGCGCAAGCGCGCGTCGGAGAGCGGTTGCGGAAGCCGCCAGGCGGGCGCGCGATCTAATTTCCTCGTCGTACCCCCCCCCCCCCCCAACCTTGGGGCAAGGTATCGCTAAACAACGTTCCCCGCGACCCACGCGGCGGGGGATGACCCCTCGGCCAGCGGTGGATTGCCATGGTGCAGCGCACTCGCTGTCAGAGGCAGAGGAGCGGCCCTGCATGAGGAATCCGATGGGCTACGAAGCTCTTTTTCACAGATGTCCTTAGTAGGGACGGGTATGAACGTTGCAGCGAAAAACGGTTAAAAAAACATGATCGTCGTGCAAAGTTACAAAGACACGACAGTATTGCATAGTACGAGAAAGGTCAACAAATCACCCAAACGCGTACGAATACAACTAAACCATCCCTGTCCTACCAGGCAAAGCGCACTCGGATATAAACTTGTTAGTCAGAAGCGACCTGGCCACAATTGATAGCTCAACAAAGTATCTTTATTACGTGGACATTTATAGCAGCCATATACTCTAAACGCCGTGACGTCGATTCCCAAGCGCGGAGGCACAAACCTGGAGGGCCCGGAGAAAAATACACGCAACCACGGGGAAAAAGAGAGAGAGAGAGACGCGCAAACTCCAAACATACAGCGGGCGTCAGGGTCGGGATCGGAAGCCAACGACCTCCCGCATGCAAGGCGAGGTAGTTGACATCTCCTCGCCACCGGTGGGCGTCACGGTGGCGTGCCAGGAGACGGAATTCAACCGGCGACCTCCGGATGGCGAGTCCAGCGCGCTCCGCTGAGCGTCGCTCCGCCGCTCGTGGCAGCTTTCCAGCTGTTACTGTGAATTCGAGTTAGAGGCGGGGCCGCAAGGGAACCGCTGATACCAGGCTGTGACGTTGCTGCCAAGTGTAAATGTTTCATGAAGCCGTCGGTTATATCTTTAGGTGAGCTGTCGTCTCTGAACGGGGAGGGGGGAGGGGGGGTGGGTGCCCGACGGCTCTGTCCGTCCGCGTTAAACTCAGAACCGTGAACGGGGATGAGAAAAACGGTGCACACGCGGGTGAACTTTCCAACATCACGCCGTTGTCAACGGATTTTTTTTTTATATTTTAGACGAGCGATGTTAACGTTACGTTTCAAGCCGCACGACGTGGCCAGTTTTCCCCACTTGCGTTGCCTTCCCAGTCTCGTTTGCAACCTTTCTCATTGGCTCCGTCTCGTCCATGCGGTTTCGTTCCACCCCCTGTCGTGCAAATGGTGACGGCCTATTATTTTCGCGCAACATCGCATAAATCGCGAGTGTAAGAATCGGTTTTAACACAGCGAATCGGTGTATCGACACACGGCCAGCAAACGCTGCTGTGACGAAACGCGGCTGTGAAATTTGACCATTTGACGCCTTGTTATTTCCCCAGCGATCCGACATGTAGATAACCCCAAAGTGTGGCTAAACAGCGGTGTCGTAAAGGAAGTTGACTGGACAGAATCAACAAGGGGCGGGGGGGGGGGGGTGGCGGCGGCGGGCGATAGAAAGCAGGGGCCAAACAGCTCAAGGGAAGGGTGAGAGATGACGGAGTGGGTGGGGAAGGCGCGCTCCCCCTTACAAGATGGACAGGAGTGTTCAATCGGTGCCACGGCCGGCGGGGAGCCAAGCGCTTGTCACAGGAGGAGGAGGAACATCCCGAATGAAGCTGTGTGTGACGGCATTTTGGCGGGCGCCTTGTCGGTCTGCTGACCCACCCAGCCCTTCTCCTGTGCCACAGTGCCGGCCTTCAGAGGTGCTGCTAGGCCAACAGCACTTGCGCCAACAGTCTGTTAAAGGCTATACGGGGGATCTTTGCGTTACATCGTTTATATCTTTTTTATTTTAGCACCTCCGATTTGGGCACGGTTGGATACGTATGGTGTGAAAGAAGTTCAGCATATATACATACATTCAGTAAAACACACATACGTACATACGTTCAGTTCAGCATACATTCAGTGCAACGTACATTAAATTCAATCTACATACATTCAGTTCAACATACGTACATTCAGTTCAACATACGTACATCCATTCAGTTCTACATACAGATCAACATACGTGAAAAACGCAACCACTTCTCCCGTGTTGACGTCTCACTGTATTAAAAAAACACCACACGCCTGTGTGAGAACAACATTATTATTCCTGCTGTGTTGCGGAGACACTCTGGATTTGCCTCGTTGCTGTTGCTATTTTCGACTTGGTAATTTTGGTGCCTCGATATTTGCCGGCGGTTTGGCTGATTTAAACTCTTTCAAAAGTCACGAAAGCCTCCTGAAGCCCCCCCGGCAAGCCCGTTAGACATCGCCCTGCCGACTCGACTCCACAGCTACTTCGCTTTTTTGCAAGCAAATTTACTTTTCGAACATTCGTTCAGTTCGTGACGAATTGATTTCTTTTTTCTCTTCTTCACGACGGTGATCGTGGTGACGATGTTTGCCAATCCGCCCGTCCATCGTTCCTCTTTCCGCAGCGGTACAATTCCGAACGCGTCCGTCTGTCCGTACCTTGAATGCTCGTTTCCGTTTTGCGTCGGCGGTAACACCCCCCCCCCCCCCCCCCCGTGCGTTTGAACGCGCGCACGCGAAGCCGGCGGTCTGGACCAGGGGTCGGCAAACCTGCGGCTCGCCGGCTCTTTTAATAAAGGCCGCCTCGTCACGTCATTGATTAAGGGGACCCCACCGTCACGTTGCATTGCGGCTCTTGAAATATTGAAGTTTTTATTTTTTTACGGATCGCGGGGGGGAAAAAAAGGGCTCCCCCCCCCCCCCGGTCTAGACGATCAACAAAGCGCAGAGTAGCGGCCAAGAGGAGAGGACGCGCCGGGGAGGATGGCTACCTCCCACCGTTGACGTAGGGCGATGGGAATCGGCTTGTGTGGCAGGCGCCAGGTGGAGCGTTGTTTGTCGGCGGCTTGGTTGGGGGGGTGGAGGCCTTCACCCATAAACGGGCGGATCGTAAGCGATGTCGATGACGGCAACGGTGATGCTTTAACATTTTTACGGTTGTCTTTTTTTTACCGCCCCGCTTCCTGTCCGTCTCCCTGCACCGTCTCTGCCACTTCGCCTCCCCACGTCCATCACGAACCTTGCCGCCGCCGCCGCCACATCCATCACCTCCGCTACCTCCACCAACACCGCCGCCTCCTCTCGTCCATCACAAACTCCACCACCAACTCTTCCACCACCACCACCACCTCCATTCCCACCTCTTACATAAACCTTGCGACCTCCACCCCCACGTCCATCGCAAACCCCACGACCGCCACCACCACCACCACCACCTTCCCACGTTTTTCACCACCACCACCACCACCACCTCCGGAGCGCAGCAGCAACGCCGCGCTCGCGAGGCCTCCAAGCAGCAGGAGCGCGAGCACAAGCGTCACCGCGAGCTCGAGCTGGAGCGCCGGCGTGAGCAGCAGCAGGAGCTGGAGCGCCGGCGCGCCGACGAGCTGGAGCGCCGGCGTGAGCAGCAGCAGCAGCAGCAGCAGCAGCAGGAGGCCGAGCGCCGGCGCGCCGACGAGCTGGAGCGTCGGCGTGAGCAGCAACAGGAGCTGGAGCGGAGGCGGCGCGACGAGGAGGTGCGGCGGAGGGAGGCCGAGCTGGAGCGCTGGCGCCGCGACGAGGAGGAGCGCCGGCGGGCGGAGCGCGAGCAGGTGAAGGGCGGTGGGGCGAGGGGGGGGGGGGGGCGGGCGCACGCGGGGGAACGTCGTCGCGCTCGTCGACGTTCCGACTTTCCGCGCGGGTTCGGCGTTTCCTAGCCGCCCCCCGGGGACCCCCTTCGCGCGCCCGTGGTGAGCGCGGCTTTCGCTTTGATTTCGTTTTTCTTCCGTCACAATGCTCTGGATCCTGCTCCCCCGCCCCCCCCCCCCCGCCGCCACGGGACGCGCCCTCCGTTTTATCCGCGGGACGCGAGATGTCCGGCGCCGCGTCGAGGGCACCTCGTGCGAGTCTGCCCTCCCCCGTCGCTCTCGCTCCTCCTCTATCCCCCACCCCCACTTCTGCAGGAGCTGATCAGGCGGCAGTTAGACCAGGAGCAGCAGGAGATAGAGGAGCTGCAGCAGCAGCTGCTGCAGGAACAGGCCCTGCTGCTGGTAACGCGCCGTGCGGCCAAAAGGCTTCGGCTTGGCTTCCATTCGTTTGACCCGATCATTTACATCGACGACTCATTTCTTCAGAACTGCTTCTTCGTTTGTTGTCCTTCCGCCCGCCCGCCCGCACCTCCGATCGGCGCGGTTGGCTGCCGTGCGGTGCGAAAGAGCGCACGCACGCACGTGTGCGCATTTGCCCGTCAAGTCGATTCATTCCATTCGCTTCTCCTCCTCCTCGTGTCCCTCCGCCACGACGTACGGACACCGAGAGGAAGAAGGCACGCTTGCTTTAGCGGCAGCCACGCAAGCGTGCACGCCGGTGATCATCTCCCTGCCCCGCACCACGCCGCTCCCCATCCACCACACCATGCGAGGAATTGTCACGACTTCCCTCGGGCTTGCATTTCGATAAGATAATTGATTCCTTTCACCGCCACGCTTCTGTTGTTGTTGTTGTTGCGTGTGTGTTTTTTTTCCCCGTCTCGTTTTGCGCAGTTTTTGTTCGCCCCAATAAACCCAAACACACCTTTAGTGTATCATTCGCATACGGCGTGCATACGACTGTAAAGAATCGATTCTCTGACGCACGATGTTAATGCGTGTATCGTGAGAGTATGAACGTGGCCTGTCTGGCGATTATCGCGGGCAGCTGGATCTGTTGGAGGTGAAACTTATACCCTCGGTTGAACGTCCCGAGCGAGTCAGTGAGTGTGTGTGGCTTAGTGGGGAGCGGTAGCGTGGTAGTTAGCGCGTTGCACTACGAAACTGGTGACCCGGGTTCGATTCCCGCTGACGGCCAACACCGGTGACGATTATTTTAACCGGTCCTGGGCCTCTCCTAGGTCGACTCGGCCTCACATAAGTACCTGGTGCGGTGTGTAAACATCGCCACTAGGGAGACAAAGGCGGTCGGGCGTGGTGCTGGCCACCCACCCCCTCGTGTGCCTCGCTTAACAGCACTTGCCCCAATAGTCTGTTCAGGCTACATGGGGGATCTTTGTCTGTCCTTTTGTAGTGGTTAGCAGACTGCTCTGAACCCAGCTTCTGTGCGCATCTCGCAAGCCACAATCTTGAGATAAAAATGTTTGTTGCACGGAAGCCGCCATTCGGCAACATTTCTGCGCGAAAGCAATCTCTGTCCCAGGTTCAACTTAATCGTCAAAGGTCCCGGGCTTGTTAAACCGCAGGAGCCCTGGGGGAAACGGATATCATGGGCACGAGCAACAACCCCCTCTTCGCGATTCCGGCCTTGCAAAGTGCAAACGCGGTCTTTGCTTCCTGAAACAATTTCTGCTTTAACAAAGCGAGTAGCGGAAGCCCCGGCCGACGGATGGGTTCTGACGTTGTTACATACGCTCGGACGCGAACCAAAGTGCGTCGACGCGTTTTTTCATCGACGTATTTTCGCGTCCGCTGGCCTGTTTCGAGAGTGGAGCCCGGCACGTCAGAATTTTGTTGCCCGCAAATTTGACGAATTCTCACCCGCCCTGTTCCTCCCTCTCGCAACACCGCCACTGAAACCCACCACTTGTTTACTTTGTACGTAACGATGTAACGCTTTACGGCAGTGCGAGCCGTTAAAAACGACGCGGGTTTTTTGCCACTGCCAGAGCCCTTCGTGGCGGCCTCGTTTTTTGCGTTTTGCACGCACCGTCATCGCCGACTCGCCGACTCGCTGACCGGCGCCTCTCGCCGCCTTGCCGTAAGGCCACAGCGACCTACGGCCGCGACGCACCCCGACGCATCGTCGATATCCGTCGGCCGCTCCTCCGGTTTCGGGGCGAACGCCCGCCGCGGGGACCGGGCCTCGTCCGTCTGGGCGCGCTCGCGAGACGCGCCGCCGGAGCGGCGGTCGCCGTGGCCGCCGATCGTCCCCGAGACCCTCGACTTCACGATCGGCGTCGCGTGTAGATGCCCCGTGAGAATCGTCTTCCGGACTCCGGGTAGGTCGGCGCGCGTTCCTGGACAACTTCCCGCCTCGCTGGCTGTGTCCGCTGCAGCTGTCGGGCCCGCCTTCGCTTGAGCCTGCCGAAGCCCTGTCCAGTCCCCTGTGGTCTTGTCTCAAGGCCTAGTGGGATTATTTACACAACTCCCTCCGGCTAGGCGAGTGCGTCTCGGCACGCATCTCGGCACGCGGCGCCACGGGTCGTGGGGCCGGCTCGTCCGTTGTGTGCCAGCGCTGAGATTTGCTGCACGGATATCAGGCCAAACCATACCCATCTGCTCACCCACCCACTCACCGACTCATACTCGCCCACTCACTCACTCACTCACCCACCCATACCCACCCACTCACCCACCCATACCCATCCACCCACCCACTCACCCACCCATACCCACCCATACCCACCCACTCACCCACCCACTCACCCACTCACCCACCCACTCACCCACCCACTCACCCACCCATACCCACCCACTCACCCACCCACTAACCCACCCATACCCACCCACTCACCCACCCATACCCACCCACCCACTCACCCACCCACCCACTCACCCACCCACTCACCCACTCACCCACCCACTCACCCACCCACTCACCCACCCATACCCACCCATAACCACCCACTCACCCACCCATACCCACCCATAACCACCCACTCACCCACCCACTCACCCACCCATATCCGGCCGTTAAGAATTTGACGGCGCGTCTCTTTTGGTGTTAACGCTGCTGAGTCGTCGTTTGCTTTCACGACCGCCGCTCCGTGCCCCCCCGCATTGTTCGCGGGAACGTCGCAGGACCGCGCGATGCCTCGTACGTCGCGTGTCGGTCCGAACCCCGCGTCGGGACGTTCCACTCCGGGGTGACCCCTCCCCCGGTGTCGTGATCTCCGGGGGCGATCTTCCCGCTGGGCGCGATCCCGTCTCGCCGGAACGGATGAACCGCGGATCCTCTGCGCGCCCCCCCCCCCCCCCCACCCCCCTCCCAGTCACTCGGAATCTTTCGACGGTGATTGTACCGGGGCCGAATGCGTTTCGTTTGCAAGCAAAAAGCAAAACAAACGCGTTGGGCCGACCGGGAGTGCGTGCGGCTCGTCATGCCGGCTGCCCCGGTGTTGTTATTTTTTTTATTTGCGAACACGTACCCGTCGTCCGCGCCGCAGGAATGCCGCCGCAAAGCGGAGGCGGAGAGGCTGCAGAAGCAGATCCAGCAGGAGAAGGACTTCCTGATGTCGCTGCAGCAGCAGCAGCAGCAACAGCAAAGCGAAGGCAGGACGTCGCAGGGCGACAAAGCGCGTGTGGTGTACCAGTTCCTGGAAAACAAGCCTCCCGCGGACAAGCCAGCCTGGGCCAAGCAGGTACGGTTCGATGCCATCATCGTCGTCGTCGCCAGCATTGCCACTCTCGTCCATCGTCAGCTTCCGTCACGATCTTGGTCGGTTATTAATGCCTCCGCCGACGACATCTCATGGACGGTGGTCACTATCGACGTCGTTGTTTTCTGCATCGGTGTTGCCGTGTCACAACCACCGTCACGATTGCCCTCGGCCATCCCTTCGGCATCACTCTCGACAACGACAACAACAACGACACCACCACCGTCACTCCGTCACTGTCAATTAACGTCACCACAATCAGCTCCCTCAACAAAGGGATTTCCGCATTATCTCCGTCGTGAGCATTCCCCTTGCTCCGGGCGCCCCCCTCCCCCCGTCCCCCCCACAGCGCCCCCGCGGTTGTTGCCACGCGACTCCGGATGGCCATGCGGTCGTCGGCGGTGAGACGGACGCGCCCTCGCTCACCCCCCCCCCCCCCCGCCCACCCCACCCACCACGTTGTGCCGTTGGTTGTGCCGTTGGTTGTGCCGCGTGGCCGCGCCGCAGGTGGAGGACCGTTCGAAGATGAACAAGAAGAGCTCCCCCACCAACAGCCACCGCGGCGGGGACGCCGGGCCGCAGCCGGTGCCGGCCGACGCGCTGGCAAACGGCGCGGCCCAGGCCTCCTCCTCCGCCGGCGCCGGTGCCGGCGCCGCCTCCTCCGCCGCGTTCCAGCGCGGCGTCGACCCGCAGGTGGGGAGGGTCGGGGGGGGGGGGGTGGAGGTTGCAGCAGCTCACGACATCGTCGCTTCGGTTTCCCCCACCGGATTTTGTCGTCACAACAATAATAACACGATGATTATTTACACCCGGGAAGTGTGCTCATTTAATACGGAGATGGCACCAATGCGCCACCGTGTATGGAAAGCAGGAAATATAAACAGAAGTTGGCGGGGTAAACGGTCAGAACTAGTGGGGGTGATGAAGGCCAGTTGAAAGAGTTTTCAACACGGCACTTAAATACACTTAACGATTCTAATCGTCTTATTAGCAAAGGCAAGGCGTTCAAAAGCTTGGAAGCTGCACTGGCAAAATGAGCCGTGACCTCGGAGTCCTTTAGAGAAGAAGGGGGATCCGAAGATCTCGGGGGGGGGGGGGGACCTCGTTGGAGAGTAAACACGGATCGGTTTCTGTTAAATATCGCGGGGGAGTCGACTCGTTTGAGTGCCTCTTTTGCGCTGATTTCTATTCGCTTCGTTGCTGTACGGGCGCCTCCGTTGTGACGGTGCCGAGCCCCGTAGCGCGTCGCGGCCGTTTCCAAGGGGGGGGGTGGCCAACGGCTACGAGCACGCGGTCGTCCCCCTTGGCAGAGCGAGCTGTGTCACCCATTTTACATGGGGACCACGTGGCTCCATTGCGGATCGCTTGAATCGGGTCAGGTCGCCCGTGAAAGTCGGGGGCCGAGGCCACATACTTTCACGTCTCATTGCAAAGAATTGGCAATTTTTTACGTTGAGTATTCGCGCGACGGCGCTTTGGGTGCAGATTTTAGCCAGAAAGGCGCCGCGCGAGAGGAAAAATAAAATCCACTCGCCACGACTCAGCCAGGTCGGCGATCCGACTCGTCACCGGGTTTTGAGCCTCGTTGAGAACGCAGCTTTTGGCCACTTTTTTTTTGTTTTGTTTTAAACGGGGACGTCTGAACGGTTAGTTGACGAGTGCCGATGCGATTCGCTCAGGTCCAGGTCGCCCACCGCATCTCCCTCCGGCAGCAGCAGCAGCAGCAGCAGCAGGTGGGCGGTGGCGGTGGGGCCGCACCCGCGATGCCACGATCCCACTCGTTCCCCGAGCAGGAGTCTCCGCCGCTCATCCCCTCGTCCGCCTCCGCGCCGTCACACCCGCCCACTGACGGCCCCACGCGGAGGCTGCTCGCCGAACCGCCGGCCGCCGGCATGGAGGAGGTGCCCCCAAAGGTGCGGAGCGCTGAAAGCGAAACCGGCTGCTTCGCGGCCACGCCACGCTTGCCGCGCCCCCTTCAAGTTGCGCCCGCGTGTGTGTGTGCGTGCGCCGGAAACTGTCTCTTTCATCTCGCTGAGCTTGATCGTACATTGTAAGGTGGCACTCATTTATATATATACACACACACAGTACTCTTTGGTTCTTTCGGTAAAGTCGCGTAGGTATAAAATGAAATTAATTAAATCACGACGTTTCGGTGCGCAACACTAGCGTCCGTCATCAGGTGGGACAACCACAGCAGGAAACAATTTGCTGAAGTGGGCAAAAGGGGCTGCTGTGACAAGAAGCTGTATAGGTAAGAGAGGGGGGAGGAGCCAGGGAGGAGAGATAGAGAGGAGGAGGAGCCAGGGAGGAGATAGAGAGGGGGGGGAGTGCTGCAAGCTAGAGGGATTACAGGGCAAACAAGGCACAAGCACGACGAAATGCCGGGGGGGGGGGGGTGGAGAAGTGGGCGGGGCTGGGAGTGGGAGGCTGAAGAAACTGGAGATGCGGATATGAAGGCAACACCATAAAGCAGTTTAGGGTTTACCTGGTTAATAACATCCTTCCAATGATTGCTCAATTTGTATCCATCTTCTCGGTTGAAGTTATGTCTGTTTATATATCTGGATGGCTTCATGAACCAACCTTTGATAGTAGCCCGACGGTTTGCAGAGTTACCTTGGCCTCGGAAAAAAATAATATCATGAGAGCCCCCAGCGTTACAGCAATACGTCAGCCACAAAGTACTTGCCGCAAATGAACCGCCAATACCTTGCCGATCTTGTCAAGAAGCATAAACCATCGCGCGAACTCCGGTCAAACTCGCAGCAACAGCGGCATTTGGCTGACCGTCGAACGAAGATGGTCACCGCGTCGAGGGGCGCTTTCAGATGCTGCTCCTGCGGCCGTCTGGAACGCTCTCTTCCTTCCGATATTCGGAAGCCACTGGGAGCTGTGCACTTTTAAATCATCGTCGTCGAGATTGAAACACTCGTTTCTTTAGAACTGCTTTTTGTGTTTGGTTTTGTTGTCTATCCTCCGGCACCTCCAATGAGCATGGTGTACGGTGCCAAAGAAGTTCAACATACGTGCCACAGCTCTCCGCCACTTGCCCCTCATGTGTCTAGCGTTCGTCTCTCTCACCTCTATCGCCCACCGGTGGGTGCTCAGCCGCCGTCTCCCTCTCCACCGTCGCGACAGGTCCCTCCGCGCACTACGTCACGATCGCCGGAGCTCATGCGGAGGAACTCGCCCGGCGTCTTGCCGGCATTCACCCCTCGACCGAGCGGCCAGTCCCGGTGAGCACGGTGAAGCGCGCCGCGCCCGCCGAGGCGGCGGGGAGGGTGGTGTTTGTGAGCTCGCGTCGTGGCGCGGTGGCGAGATGTGTACTACCTCGCCAGGTATACAGGTGGTCGTGGCTTTCGCTGACGCCTGCTATATATTTGGAGTTTGCGTGTCTCTCTCTCTCCCCGCGGTCGCGTCGATTTTTCTCCGGGTCCTCCGGTTTTTCCCTTCACATTTAGAATCAACGTCACGCATTCAGAGTGTTTGGCTGCTTATAAATGTCCACGTGATGAGGCACTTTGTTGAGCTATCATTTGTGGCCGGGTCGCTTCTGAAAAAAAGCCACATAGCTCGGTGGGCCTTACCTGGTAAAATTAAATGTGTGCGTGTGGTCCGCGTGACCAGACTGGCAGACGCTAAGGCCGCGGAGGGGTTGCCAGACGGTGCGGACTCGCGGAGCCGGCACCAGAAGCAGTACGGCAGCCACTCCAGCTCGGGATCCGGTTCCGGATCGGCCTCCAGCTCTTCCGGCTCGCAGCCCAGCTCCGGGGAGCGACAGAAGCCCCGCGGTGAGCGACCACTCCTCCTCCTCCTCGTCGTCGTCATCGTCGTCATCAGCAGCGGCCGTGATCTATTTTCTGTTGGATGACGAGTTGATTCGATCGTTCCGGCTCTTTGCGGGTCCACCTTCCCGGCCGTGTTTTCCCTCCTTCAGCTGCCACTTCACCGTTAGTCTCGACCGCGGGTCTCCTGGCGACGCGCCCAGCCCACGCCCAGCACGGAACGCTTAACAGTCGATGTACCCTCTCACTTGCTCGTGCTGTAAGAACGCAACTAAAACAACCGTCTTCTCTGTAACCTGCTTTCATCCCTTCCCTCTTGGAATAAGCCGCCGCTATATATATATATACGTTGGCCGCGTGTTGTTCCTTGACAGCCGCTGCGCAGACGAACGGAGCTCCGTCCTCGGACAGCCTGGGCGTCGGACAGGACGACGGGATGGACGTGGCGCGGCCCGCTCGCCCTCCGGTCAGTGCCGGACACCCGCCCCGTCTCCCCCGCCGTCATGCCGCACCGAGGGCAGAGAGGGTAGGGGGCGGGGGTCAGCGGAATCGCCTGTGTGCCGCACCCTCCGCAAGGCCGCGGTGGAGCGTTCCGCGGAAACTTTGTTGCAGATGCTACGATTTTTCCTTTTCGCCACGTGTTTATATTTTTTTTACTGCCGCATTGAGGGCAGCAGCTGTTCGGATTGCGCGTGCTCATCGATCGTCAGCACAAGCCGGTGGGTACCGACAGAGTGTGCCGAGCGCTGGCGTCGGTCACGAGCGGATTTAATTGAGACATCCGTGAGAATGGGAGCACGGTGATGGGTCCGTGAAAAAATGTTTTGACGGATGACGGTGGCTACGCGCGGGATCCAGAAAAGTTTGTGAACCTGTTGGTGCAAGGATACAGTGGGTGAGTGAGGTGAGTTGGTAACTACCTCGCCTGGTATGCAGGAGGTTGTGGGTTCGATCCCGACCCTGACTCCTGCTGCTGTATATTTGGAGTTTGCGGTGTCTCTCTCTCTCCCCGTGGTCGCGTGGATTTTTCTCCGAGTCCTCCGGTTTCTCCCTCCACATTTAGAAACATGCGTTTCTAGTCGTATTTCGCTGCTATAAATATCCACTTCGTTGAGCGATACTTTGTGGCGAGGTCACTTATGAAAAAGAGCTATACAGTCATACCTCGGTATACGACCGCTTTGGAATACGTCGAATTTGGTACACGTCGTGTTTTGACGAGAAAAAAATGTCTTGGGATATGACGTCTTGCTTGGGATACAACATCTTGCTTGGGATACAACATCTTGCTTGGGATACAACATCTTGCTTGGGATACAACATCTTGCTTGGGATACAACATCTTGCTTGGGATACAACATCTTGCTTGGGATACAACATCTTGCTTGGGATACAACATCTTGCTTGGGATACAACATCTTGCTTGGGATACAACATCTTGCTTGGGATACAACATCTTGCTTGGGATACAACATCTTACTGGGGATACGACGTCTTGCTAGAAGTTGTCTGGGTCGGGATGAGTCACCGGGTACCCGCGTAGACCCCGTTCACGACTCAAACAAATCGCCGCTCCTCAGTCTGCCTGTAGATCTCGTTCAGTGCACAACCCTTGCTCTAACTCTCTGTGAATTTTCACATGCATTTCTTTTAATGTATGTATGCATTTTAGTAATAAGTAGTGTCTACATTATGTTATACAACCACAATGTATATAAAATATAATTCCTTATACTCTGGAACGGATGATTTCCTTTATTTCTTATGGGAAAAATTCGTTTGGTCCTGCCTTCTGGAACGAATTAACGACGTATACCAAGGTGCCACTTTATAGCCGGGTGGGCCTTACCTGTTAAAAATTGTAGTTTTAGGTACATTGATGGTTATGGGAGGGTGAGTGGGAGGGTAGGCAGATGGATGTGTTTGTGTGTCGATAGGTGGGTGTCTGTAAAGTTCGGTAAGTCGGTGAGAGGCGAGTGAGTGGGTGAGTAATTTCATTGACAGTGTTTGCAGTAGGTAGGTAGGCGGGTGTTTGCAGTTCGGTGAGTTGATAGGTTATTGTATGTGTCGATTTAAAGCTTTCGTGACTGCAAGGATTCATCTTCTTTGGTTCTTTCGGTAAAGTCACGTAGAATGAGAATAAAATAATAAATTGGTAAAATAAAATAACGCAATAATATTCTCACGACGTTTCGGCCACAACACAAGCGGCCTTCATCAGGTGAAGGGACAAGACTGTCTGGAGGACAGCGCTGTATGTGTGTTGAACTTCTTTCGCGCCATATGTAGCCAACTGTCCTCATCATTGGAGGTGCCCAGCTTAGTTGAGTCGGGGAATCGAGGTGGGTTGATGGATCGGTGGGTGGGGTGAGTAGGTCGATGTGTGTAGGTAATTGGATAAACGAATTCAGCACGGCGCGTGCAGATCGCCAATTATCGATCCTCGCACGCATGGTGCGACGGATCGATGCGTCGCTACACCCTCCCCCCTTCCCTTCTATTCCCCCTCCCCGGTGGAACCTTCGCGCAACCGTGCGAGTCCTCCGTTGCCTCCACCGGCATCCCTCCCCCCCCCACCCGGTCCCATCGACGTTGCTGCCGTGGGGAACGTTGCTCTCGCCGCCGCTGGTAATTTTGTTTTTCGTTTTTCCCCTCCAAACGCTTTGCGCGCGGTAGAGCTACGCTAAAGCCATTTACGAGGTCAGTCGTGGCGCGGCGCGGGTGGGGACTTTGTACTTTTAAAAGAGCGCGCTCCCCCGAAATTGCCTACTGGCGATGCCGGCGCATGGCAGTCGTTTTGCCGCCGAACGGCCCGATCGGGAACTGCCCTTTTTGTAAGAAAGGCAGTCGCAACCCGGCCGTGTGTTGTGTGTTGTTGGAGCTGATTAATACTGTTAACACTACTCACGATATGCCTGGGGGGAGGGGGACACCCCCCCCCCTTACCGCCAGCTTGCTCCTGTGCGGCACAGGGTGAACATGGCACCGGCGTGCAAGTGAGCATCATCCATAATACAGGTTTATTTTTTGGTTCGACAGCGTATTTAGTAAGGTTTGTCACGTAAACAGGACATGCCAAATCGTCACTAGCACAGCACACCGGTGTGTTGGAGAGCCAAGCGATGACATTTATAATCCGAGTGACATTTCGCTAGTAATTACAACTAGCTTCATCAGGCGACGGCCAGTTCTGTTTACATGACAAACCTTACTAATCGGGTGGTGGCGGGTTTAACGGCACATCTTCTATATATATATATTTATACGCGATCTAACCAAACAAAAACCTGTTTTGTGGACGATATTGGTCGCACAAGCCGACTACGTATTAAACGAAGTGGGCATCCGTCTGCCGGTCGGCGGTTGGGGGGAGCGACGTTTCGGGCAGCGCCGCCCTTCCGCGCAGCGGAGAGGCGGTAACAACGGGGATCTTAACGATCTCTCCGCTAACGTGAGCTCCGGCAGCTACCGAGCAGTGCCGTTCGCCACCAAGTGGCGGCGACCACCGGCAGACCAACTCCACGCGTGCGTCAATGCGGCCTCTTCCCATGATAATTCACGGCGAAGGTTTTAATGGGTGCAGATCGCGTAAAATATTCATGTGCCGTCGTTAACCCCACCGCCGCCCGACACGGCCAATCGGCGAGGTTTGTCGTGCAAACACAACGCTTCAATTGGTGACGTCAGCGCAGCGGCCGTGTGTTTCAGAGTGAACCCACAGCAACGTTTACCATTCGAGTCCCGCGTGACGTTTCGCCCCCATGATTACACCAATGACCAGCTTATAATAGGGTTTTTCCCCTTTTTTCTGGCAACAAAACTGAAACCTTTTTACAAGGATTCATGTCTGCATTAACCACAATACCTGCAGTCAAAATTCAAATAAAAAAACATACTATGATAATATTCTTTATTGTCCTTGAAACTGATTGGTCCACACCAAGGGACGGCTTTTTTTTGAGCATCAACCCAATTGGTGCTAGACCAGATGACGCCAAAAGGCGTCCAGCTCAAAGACAATGCACCATCCAAGTAATGAGGGCTCGGGGTGAGCATCTACATCATTACGCCTTTTGGCGTTATCTGGTCAAGCACCAGTTGGGTCGAGGCTCAAAAGAAAGCCGTCCCTTGGTGTGGACCAATCAGTTTCAAGGACAATGCATCATATATTATCATAGTATGTTTTTTGTTTGCATTTTGACTGCAGGTATTGTGGTTAATGCAGACATGAATCCTTGTAAAAAAGGTTTCAGTTTTGTTGCCGGGAAAAAAGGGGAAAAACCCTATTATTACATTTTGGTACTGGCAAAGGAGGTCTAATGAAACAACCAGCTTCATCAGGCGACTTGCACGGTGATTACAACCACCAACCGCTTCCAGTTTTGCTTGCGCTTTTTAATTTAAATTCTTTGTTTTACCCGCTCACCCACCCCCCGGCACGGCAGCAGACGGTGTCGGGGGCCCCGCCGCGCAGCGCGGTGAAGGTGACGGACTACTCGTCGTCCAGCGAGGACTCTGGGGACTCGGACGAGGAGGGCGAGGTGGACGCGGAGGGCCGGCACGACGGCACCATCCCCGTGCGGGGCATGCACCGCGCCACGTACGTCGTACGCCCTGGCGCGGCTGGCGCTCTGCCACCACGGTGGCTAGGAGATGTTAACCACCTCGCCTGGTACACAGGAGGTCGTGGGTGCGATCCCGACCCTCTTGACGCCTGCTGCTGTATATCTGGAGTTTGCGTGTCTCTCTCTCATCATCATCACGGTGGCTAGGAGATGTTAACTACCTCGCCTGGTATACAGGAGGTTGTGGGTTCGATCCCAACCCTGACGCCTGCTGCTGTATATTTGGAGTTTGCGTGTCTCTCTCTCTCATCATCATCACGGTGGCTAGGAGATGTTAACCACCTCGTCTGGGATACAGGAGGTCGTGAGTTCGATCCCGACCCTCTGACGCCCGTTTTTATATTTGGGAATTTTCGTTTTCTCCCCTTGGTGGTGGCGGCGTGGATTTTTCTCCGGATCCTCCAGTTTTTCCCGACACACATTTAGAATGAACGTGCCTTCTAGAGTATTTGGCTTCTATACATTTCCACATCAGCTATCATTTGTGGCCAGGTCCCTCCTGGAAAAAGAGCTACACAGCTCAGTGGGCCTTACCTGGTAAAATAAAAAAATAAAACTGTTTAGTTTAATTTATCTCTCTGATGTGCGAGGACAAGTCCGTGGCGTGTCTTTCACGCTGCGCGATTCCGGTTCCCGAGCCACCTCGTCAACAACACGCCGACTCGTTAACAACTCACCAACTCGTTAACAACTCACCAACTCGTTAACAACTCACCAACTCGTTAACAACTCACCAACTCTTTAACAACTCACCAACTCGTTAACAACTCACCGACTCGTTAACAACTCACCGACTCGTTAACAACTCACCAACTCGTTAACAACACACCAACTCGTTAACAACTCACCAACTCGTTAACAACTCACCAACTCGTTAACAACTCACCAACTCGTTAACAACTCACCAACTCGTTAACAACTCACCAACTCGTTAACAACTCACTGACTCATTAACAACTCACCGACTCTTTGACAACTCACCAACTCGTTGACAACTCACCAACTCGTTAACAACTCACCGACTCGTTAACAACTCACCGACTCGTTAACAACTCACCAACTCGTTAACAACACACCAACTTGTTAACAACTCACCAACTTGTTAACAACTCACCAACTCGTTAACAACTCACCAACTCGTTAACAACTCACCAACTCGTTAACAACTCACCAACTTGTTAACAACTCACCAACTCGTTAACAACTCACCAACTCGTTAACAACTCACCAACTCCGTAACAACTCACCAACTCGTCAACAACTCACCGACTCGTTAACAACTCACCAACTCGTTAACAACACACCAACTCTTTGACAACTCACCAACTCTTTGACAACTCACCAACTCGTTAACAACTCACCAACTCCGTAACAACTCACCGACTCTTTGACAACTCACCAACTCGTTAACAACTCACCAACTCTTTAACAACTCACCGACTCGTTAACAACTCACCAACTCGTTAACAACTCACCAACTCGTTAACAAATCACCAACTCTTTGACAACTCACCGACTCTTTAACAACTCACCGACTCGTTAACAACTCGCCGACTCGTTAACAACTCACCAACTCGTTAACAACTCACCGACTCGTTAACAACTCACCAACTCGTTAACAACTCACCAACTCGTTAACAACTCACCAACTCATTAACAACTCACCGACTCGTTAACAACTCACCGACTCTTTGACAACTCACCAACTCGTTAACAACTCACCAACTCGTTAACAACTCACCGACTCGTTAACAACTCACCAACTCGTTAACAACACACCGACTCGTTAACAACTCACCAACTCGTTAACAACACACCGACTCGTTAACAACTCACCGACTCGTTAACAACTCACCAACTCGTTAACAACTCACCAACTCGTTAACAACTCACCAACTCGTTAACAACTCACCGACTCTTTGACAACTCACCAACTCGTTAACAACTCACCAACTCGTTAACAAATCACCAACTCTTTGACAACTCACCGACTCTTTAACAACTCACCGACTCGTTAACAACTCGCCGACTCGTTAACAACTCACCAACTCGTTAACAACTCACCGACTCGTTAACAACTCACCAACTCGTTAACAACTCACCAACTCGTTAACAACTCACCAACTCATTAACAACTCACCGACTCGTTAACAACTCACCGACTCTTTGACAACTCACCAACTCGTTAACAACTCACCAACTCGTTAACAACTCACCGACTCGTTAACAACTCACCAACTCGTTAACAACTCACCGACTCGTTAACAACTCACCAACTCGTTAACAACACACCGACTCGTTAACAACTCACCGACTCGTTAACAACTCACCAACTCGTTAACAACTCACCAACTCGTTAACAACTCACCAACTCGTTAACAACTCACCGACTCTTTGACAACTCACCAACTCGTTGACAACTCACCAACTCGTTGACAACTCACCAACTCGTTAACTCACCAACTCGTTAACAACTCACCAACTCGTTAACAACTCACCAACTCTTTGACAACTCACCAACTCGTTAACAACTCACCAACTCGTTAACAACTCACCAACTCGTCAACAACTCACCAACTCGTTAACAACTCACCAACTCTTTAACAACTCACCAACTCGTTAACAACTCACCAACTCGTTAACAACTCACCAACTCGTTAACAACTCACCAACTCTTTGACAACTCACCGACTCTTTAACAACTCACCAACTCGTTAACAACTCGCCGACTCGTTAACAACTCACCAACTCGTTAACAACTCACCGACTCGTTAACAACTCACCAACTCGTTAACAACTCACCAACTCGTTAACAACTCACCAACTCATTAACAACTCACCGACTCGTTAACAACTCACCGACTCTTTGACAACTCACCAACTCGTTAACAACTCACCAACTCGTTAACAACTCACCGACTCGTTAACAACTCACCAACTCGTTAACAACACACCGACTCGTTAACAACTCACCAACTCGTCAACAACTCGCCAACTCGTTAACAACTCACCAACTCGTTAACAACTCACCAACTCGTTAACAACTCACCGACTCGTCAACAACTCGCCAACTCGTCAACAACTCGCCAACTCGTTAACAACTCACCAACTCGTTAACAACACACCGACTCGTTAACAACTCACCAACTCGTCAACAACTCGCCAACTCGTTAACAACTCACCAACTCGTTAACAACACACCGACTCGTTAACAACTCACCGACTCGTTAACAACTCACCAACTCGTTAACAACACACCGACTCGTTAACAACTCACCAACTCGTCAACAACTCACCAACTCGTTAACAACTCACCAACTCGTTAACAACTCACCAACTCATTAACAACTCACCGACTCGTTAACAACTCACCGACTCTTTGACAACTCACCAACTCGTTAACAACTCACCAACTCGTTAACAACTCACCGACTCGTTAACAACTCACCAACTCGTTAACAACACACCGACTCGTTAACAACTCACCAACTCGTTAACAACACACCGACTCGTTAACAACTCACCGACTCGTTAACAACTCACCAACTCGTTAACAACTCACCAACTCGTTAACAACTCACCAACTCGTTAACAACTCACCGACTCTTTGACAACTCACCAACTCGTTGACAACTCACCAACTCGTTGACAACTCACCAACTCGTTAACTCACCAACTCGTTAACAACTCACCAACTCGTTAACAACTCACCAACTCTTTGACAACTCACCAACTCGTTAACAACTCACCAACTCGTTAACAACTCACCAACTCGTCAACAACTCACCAACTCGTTAACAACTCACCAACTCTTTAACAACTCACCAACTCGTTAACAACTCACCAACTCGTTAACAACTCACCAACTCGTTAACAACTCACCAACTCTTTGACAACTCACCGACTCTTTAACAACTCACCAACTCGTTAACAACTCGCCGACTCGTTAACAACTCACCAACTCGTTAACAACTCACCGACTCGTTAACAACTCACCAACTCGTTAACAACTCACCAACTCGTTAACAACTCACCAACTCATTAACAACTCACCGACTCGTTAACAACTCACCGACTCTTTGACAACTCACCAACTCGTTAACAACTCACCAACTCGTTAACAACTCACCGACTCGTTAACAACTCACCAACTCGTTAACAACACACCGACTCGTTAACAACTCACCAACTCGTCAACAACTCGCCAACTCGTTAACAACTCACCAACTCGTTAACAACTCACCAACTCGTTAACAACTCACCGACTCGTCAACAACTCGCCAACTCGTCAACAACTCGCCAACTCGTTAACAACTCACCAACTCGTTAACAACTCACCGACTCGTTAACAACTCACCAACTCGTCAACAACTCGCCAACTCGTTAACAACTCACCAACTCGTTAACAACACACCGACTCGTTAACAACTCACCGACTCGTTAACAACTCACCAACTCGTTAACAACACACCGACTCGTTAACAACTCACCAACTCGTCAACAACTCGCCAACTCGTTAACAACTCACCAACTCGTTAACAACACACCGACTCGTTAACAACTCACCAACTCGTCAACAACTCGCCAACTCGTCAACAACTCGCCGACTCGTTGCAATGCCGACACTTTGACCGCGCGGGCGTCACAGCGCTCAGCAACAATCGCCGCGCCTCAAGCGACCCCCGCCGGTTAACGTTTCTGTGCCGTTTGCCTCCTGTCAGCCACCCGTCGGCCGAGACCCTGATCGTCCATGACGAGGAGGACGAGGAGGAGGAGGGGAGGGACCCGGAGGGAACGTTCATCCTGCACGAGGTGGGGCGTTGCTCGCAGCCACCCTCTTCCGGGGGGGGGAGGCGGGCGGGCGGGCGGGCGGGCGGGCGGGGAAGTGGGCGAGCAAACGAGCGAGCAGACCCCGCGAGCCCCCGAACGATCGCTCCGCTCGGCTCTCCCGCGGGAGTTAGACGCGACCGGGAGGCTCTCAATTCCAGCCGGGCTCTCCCCACGCTCCCCTGCCATCCGAGTGATCGACTGGCCGCTGTCGCTTCCATTGAGCTGCTGGTGGGAGGAGACTTGCTGTCTGAGATTGCAGGCGGTGCCGTCGGTGAAGCCTAGAACATCCTGAAGGCGCTTCGTTGTCGCTGTCTGAGCCTTGGGCGTTTATCAGTCGTCGTGTTTTCTCACAAAGTAAAGCAACGAGCTCATCTCCTAACACCAAAGCTTGCGAAACTTGAAGCTGCGTTGCTCGGTAACGGGGTTCAAAGCGCGTTGCACTTTGAACCCGGTGACCCTGAGTTAAATACCCGGCCACAACCAACGTCGGCCAAACCGGGCCTGGTCCCGCAGCCACTTCGCCAACCAAAACCCGCACCAGTGACCGGCGCGGTGAAGTATGGTCAAACGGCCTCCGTGAGCGACGCGGCGCGGGGGAATGCTCCTGCATCCTGCGGTAGATTTCGGCAGAATGCCGCGAATCGTTGCGGAGGTTGCGGGCACATCTGCTCGCTCGACGTACGGATGAACGGAAACGATGTCAGACGGCCGGCGATAGCCCAGCGTTGTGGAGCGTCCGGGACAATCGCATGTTCTAGCCGATTGTGATTTTAAGCACGGCCGGGCCAAGTGCACGCTTCAAAGAAACGCACCCTGCTGTTCAGGACACGTGCGGCGATGTCTCGTGCGTACGCTCTCGAGCATATGCCGGCTTACTGCATTTGAAGCTTCAAAAGTTGACGTTGGATTCGCGTTAAAATGTAATTACAAATTTGCCTTCACAGCCGCTTTGTTTGAACCCGAGGTCCACCACGAGCACGCGCGACGTTCTGACCCGCGCTCGTGGGATTCCTTTCCCGTCGCCCGTCGTCGGCGTTCCCGCTCCGTACGTCGCCGTGGCTCGGCTGCGCCGCGTCGCAGATCCCAGGATCCACCGTGTTCTGACGTCGGTTTCCCCCGTCCCGTCCCCCCCCCCCCACACCCCTCTTCCCACGCACGCTCGCGCTCCAGAACGGCGGCGACAAGTCGTGCGGGCAGCTGAACGGGCTGTCCGCGCGCAGCGGCGTGCTGCCAGATCTGCTGCCCCAGGGCACGGGGGGCGGAGCGCTGGGGGCCGCTCCGGGCTGCCCCTTCTCGGCGTCGTCCTCCTCCTACCAGGGAGACGGCGAGGAGGTGAGAAGAGGGGGAGGCCCTCTCGGCGGGGAAGGGAAGGGTGGGCACGAGTGAGCGAGCGAGGACAGGAGAGAGTGAGCGAGCGAGGACATGAGAGAGTGAGCGAGCGAAGACAGGAGAGAGTGAGCGAGCGAGGACATGAGAGAGTGAGCGAGCGAGGACATGAGAGAGAGGGCGAGCGAGGACATGAGAGAGAGGGCGAGCGAGGACATGAGAGAGAGGGCGAGCGAGGACATGAGAGAGTGGGCGAGCGAGGACATGAGAGAGTGAGCGAGCGAGGACATGAGAGAGTGAGCAAGCGAGGACATGAGAGAGTGAGCGAGCGAGGACATGAGAGAGTGAGCGAGCGAGGACATGAGAGAGTGAGCGAGCGAGGACATGAGAGAGTGAGCGAGCGAGGACATGAGAGAGTGAGCGAGCGAGGACATGAGAGAGAGGGTGAGTGAGAGTGAGCGAGCGAGGACATGAGAGAGAGGGTGAGCGAGAGGGAGTTATGAGAGCGAGTGGCCGATTGAGTGAATGGGTGTGGAGCGCGAGCGAAGAAGTGTGAGTAAAATGAGTTGGGAAGCGAGGTAAGCGAGGAGAGCGAAGCAAGTGGGTGAGCGTGGGTGAACGAGCGAACCTGCGAACCTGCCATTCTCTGTCGCCATCCCTTGGCCATGAGTGACATTGCTGCATTTTGCTCCGTGTGATTTTTAAATAGATAATCACCCAGAAATGTCTGTCCGTCCCGCGCGTGACGTCACCTCCCCCCACCCCAAGTGACTTCACCCCACATGAGGCCCACCCATCCTCATTAATATTCATGAGTGGGTGGATTTTTTTACACTGGCGCACAAGAAGGTCGTGCACTCCACATACCGCACTCGTCCACAATAACCATGAGGGGGTGACGTCACTCCACATGCCGCACCCCTCCCCAATAACCATGAGGGGGTGACGTCACTCCACATGCCGCACTCCACAATAACCATGAGGGGGTGACGTCACTCCACATGCCGCACTCCTCCACAATAACCATGAGGGGGTGACGTCACTCCACATGCCGCACCCCTCCACAATCATGAGGGGGTGACGTCACTCCACATGCCGCACCCCTCCACAATAACCATGAGGGGGTGACGTCACTCCACATGCTGCACCCCTCCACAATAACCATGAGGGGGTGACGTCACTCCACATGCCGCACTCCTCCCCAATAACCATGAGGGGGTGACGTCACTCCACATGCCGCACTCCTCCCCAATAACCATGAGGGGGTGACGTCACTCCACATGGTGCACCCCCCCCCCCACCACCTCATTAATAATCATGAGCTGAACAATTTTTCTATTGAATATCTCAGATGAACTGCAGTACACACCCGTCCTTGGGCGGGCAGAGAAGCTAGTTTTAAATAGAAAGGAGCGGTGGCGGAGTGGTTCGCGCACCGCACGATGGACCCAAGCGATAGCGGAAACCGGCTCTGGGAGCCGCCCTTAACGACGGAACCCCCCCGAAGACGCACATTGCGCGGGGGGGGGGGGGGGGGGGAGGTCTTCGTCCGGCAGCGGATTGACGGACGCTGAAAACCCGTTGGGCGATATTTCTCCAGTCGGTTCGCACTCGCACGGCCTGGATGCCACGTACCGCGGGCGTAGGGATCGGGTTTGACCGTCGGCTGGGTGGCAACGGGCGTCGCGCGCACCGTGACCCTTGACCGCCCTCGCACCGCCCTCCTCCGTGCCGCGCGTGCAGGCCGTGAGCCCCCGCGCGGCCCAGAAGGCCATCTCCACGTCATCGTTCGCGCCCTTCGCCGAGAACGGGATGCTGCCCTCCGGATCCGTTTGTGAGTTTGGCCGCCACGGAGTTTCCCCCTCCCCCCCCCCCCCCGTTCTGCCCCCGTCGTCGGCCGTGGTTTGTCCTTTGCCGTTTGACCTCGGACGGGGGTTGGTGGGGGGGGGGACGTTGGGCGCAGGTCGACTTGGAGTAGCCCTTCACATTTTTTATGTTTTTTTTCGTTTTTTTTACACAATTATTTTTTCAATAAGGCCCGGAGCGGGGCCCACCTTAACCGAGCGCGCGTGCCTCTCCGCCCCTGCCCGCAGTGCTGTCGACGCCCCAGGCCAGCCGGCTGGACTCGCGGAAGGGCTCCGTGGTGAACGTGAACCCGACGAACACGCGGCCGCACAGCGACGCGCCCGAGATCCGCAAGTACAAGAAGCGCTTCAACTCCGAGATCCTCTGCGCCGCGCTCTGGGGTGAGACGCGGCCTCGGAATTTTCGACGAATTTCTTTCCCCCTCTTTTTTCCTTCCTTCTTTCCTTCCTTCCCTCCCCACTGGCTTTACGGCCGAGTGGGAGCCGGAGCCGTGCCCCGAACCAGCCCGGCGCGGGTTTGACAAAGCGCTGGGCCGGTTTTTATCCCACCGCGGAAGCCGAGCGGTGCCGTTGTCGCGGACACGCGACGGCGCCGTCCTTCGCCTCCCACCCCCCCCGGTCTTTTGAAGCGTGTGTGCTCATCGCAAGTTTGGTTTCCGGCTCGGCATTGATATAAAGTCGGTGGGTGAAAATCCAACCCACACTTTGACGGCCCTGTGCTGGCTCGGCTCGGATTGCCCCAGTGGGAAGAGAGGGGGGGGTTGTAAAGTTTCCAAACGCGTCCCTGTTTTACCCGGCAGCTGTCGCTGCCAGCTCCCACACCGTGCGTGCCGCCGCTGATACCTCCCAGAAATCTGTTCCATCGTCGCCGCACCTCGCGATTCTTGGCACGGTTGGCTACGTACGGGGCGAAAGAAGTTCCGCACGCGTACAAAGAACTGGGCCGGTCTCTACGTGTGGGAGGGGGGGGGGGGTGGAGGATTGGGATGAGTTTGGATTACCGATCATTTCTGGGGAGCGCCTGCCGTTGTGCTAATGACCCGAACGCTTCCGTCCCGTGGCTGGTTGCCTCCCCCCACCCCCCTCACCCCCCCACCCGCCCCCATCCCCCCACCCCCACCCACCCACCGCGGTGCCCGTGTGTAGGCGTGAACCTGCTGGTGGGCACGGAGAACGGGCTGCTGCTGCTGGACCGCAGCGGGCAGGGCAAGGTCTACCCGCTCATCAGCCGGCGCCGATTCCAGCAGATGGACGTCTTGGAGGGGCTCAACATCCTTGTCACCATCTCGGGTGGGTCGGCGGCGGTGGCGGCGGCGTCGCAGGCACACGGAGTCGGCGAGAGAGAGAGAGCGGTGGGGAGAGATGGAGACTGAGATGATGTAGAGAGTCAATGCGGGCAGGCAAGCAGCAGTAACTACGGGCGTATGCTATCTCTGTCGTGATGGTGATGGTGGCGATGGTGGCGATGTTGATGTTGGTTATGGTGATGATGTCGGCGATGTTGATGGTGACGATGTGTGCAGGCAAGAAGCACAATCTTTGAGTGTGCCACCTGTCGCCGAAGTGTTGGTAATGAGGGTGATGATGATGATGATGGTGACGATGTGGGCAGGCAAGAAGCACAAGCTGCGGGTCTACTACCTGTCGTGGCTGCGCAACAAGATCCTGCACAACGACCCCGAGGTGGAGAAGAAGCAGGGGTGGACTACGGTGGGCGACCTGGAGGGCTGCGTGCACTACAAAGTTGGTGAGAGCACCGCCCGCCCACCCCTCGCCTCCCCCGGCACTCCTTCGCACGTCTTCAAATTCGCTTCGGGGCTCCGTCTCGTGAGACGTGCGTAGCTCCGTGTTAGATCTCCATCCGCCTCTGTCCGCCCGGCGATCGGCAGGTCATCCTGTGGTGGGTCAACTTGTGGGCACTCCCGCCACAACGAACGTCTGGCCAAAGTGTAAGAGGAGTAGGCCAAGAAGCACCCTTTACGGGAGGGACTTTCGCGAGCTCCCTCTCAATGGAACCCCCAATCCGCCAGCAGTGACGTGGGAAAGCAATTGCAGGGGGCCGCGCCTCTACCCACAACTTGCTCTTCGTGGCGTGACAACGCGTGGGAAAGATGGGGGGGGGGGGTGGCGTGTGTCACGTGACTGCCCTGTGACTCTGCCCCGCGCGTCATGTGACTTCCCCGTGACTCTTCTGCCGTGACTCTGGCCCGTGCGTCTCGTTTCCCCGCGCCTGGCAGTGAAATACGAGAGGATCCGCTTCCTGGTGACGGCGCTGCGCAACTCGGTGGAGGTGTACGCCTGGGCCCCCAAACCCTACCACAAGTTCATGGCCTTCAAGGTGTTTTGCTCGGTTGCGCACGCACTTGCACGGCGACACAGACTAAGGTCACCCCCACCTCCGCCCCCACCGCGTGCTGGTAGTTACAGCCAGAGCCAGCATCATCAGGCAGTTGCCAGAATCGTGAAAATGCCCAATGGTCTTGGGCCTCAAAATAGATGGTGTGACGTCAACAACGTGCTACTCATTGTCAATTTGGGTAGAGTCGCTACTGTGGCTTGCGTTCCTCGCTGGCTGGGGTCGCTTAATTGGCGGGTGTTGCTGGTTGGCTAGCGTTGCTAATTGGCTAGCGTTGCTAATTGGCTTGTGTGGTGGGTGAGACGCCGATGCAATTACCGCTTGGGTTTTACACCAACTGCGTACGCGTTTAAAGCACGTCGGTGGCCTACACCAGAGTCTATTAGAATATATCCGTCACTGGAAAAATCCTACGTGAATGCACCCGCTAGCTCGAAAAACCTATAAACGCCGAAAAAAAATACTTTAAAAACACTTTCACCGCTGCCTTAACACTTGCTCACCCCAGCACTCGCTCACTCACTCGCTCACTCACTCGCTCGCTTGCTCACTCACAACTGACTCGCACTCTCACTCATTCGCTCTCTCACTCGCATCACCATTCAGTCGCTCGCTCACTCGCTTCACCGCTCGCTCGCTCACTCACTTCAGCACCGACTCTCATCTCGCTCGCTCACTCGCTCAGTTCACCACTCGCTCGTTGACTCGCATCGCAATTGACTCGCACTCTCATACCACTTGCTCGCATCACCGCTTAATTACCTACTGGCATCACGCCCACTCACTCGCTTGTCCACTCACTCCCCCGCTCAGACCGTCGCTCACTCACTCTCTCGCGCTTGCTCGCTCACTCACGGACTGAGGTGGGTTGCCCCCCCCCACCCCCCCACCCCCCCCGTGTGCCCACCAGTCGTTTGGCGAGCTGCCACACCGCCCCCAGCTGGTGGACTTGACGGTGGAGGAGTCCCAGCGACTGAAGGTCGTGTACGGTTCCAACGCCGGCTTCCACGCCATCGACGTCGACTCGGGCAACCCCTACAACATCTACCAGCCCACTCACGTGAGTGGGACACTGATACCCTCATGGGTAGTTACTTTGATTGATTGATGGATGAAAGGAAGGATTCATCGATGGGTATGTTAACGCATGGAACGTTTGATTGATGCCCGGCTGGATTTATTAAAGGATGGACGGATCGATTAATTGAACGACGGTTGAGCAGATTGTGCGTGTGAGCATCGATAGATCACAATTGATCAAATTGACGGCCGATTCCTTGACGACGCGTCGACGGACAATGCATGTTGACCGCACCTCCGACCAGCGCGGCTTGGCTAGGTAATAGTGGGAAAGAAGTGAAGTGTACGTACATGAATACAGACGTGCGTTGCACGCCTCTTGACGGCACTTCCATGGCGCGATCGGTGGGCGAGGGCGAACGGCGCTCGTTGCGACAGATGCCACACAACGACGACGATGAAGACGACGACGATGACGACGACGATGACGAGTATGACAGGGACGACGAGGTACAACGTGCGCGTGTCTGCCGCGACACGTGCCTGCAGATACAGGGCAGCGTCTCGCCCTACTCCATCATCGTGCTGCCCAACACGGACGGCATGGAGCTGCTGCTGTGCTACGAGGACGAGGGCGTCTACGTGAACACCTACGGGCGCATCACCAAGGACGTGGTGCTGCAGTGGGGAGAGATGCCCACCTCCGTCGGTACGGCGGAGACCTGGAGGGGGGGGGTAGGCGCGCGCGACGTTTTAGCCTCGACAGACCGTCGGGGCAATGTGCCGTGAGCGAAGTTGGGCCTGTGAAGGCGGAGCGTGAAGGAGCGTGGACTCCCCCCGTCAAGGATAGTAGACCGTCAGGCCAACTCCGGTTATCTCTCGCGACAGCGGCGGGCGGCTTTTTGGCTCGTCGTCGAACAAAGACGCTGGTCTCCGCATCGCTCGGCGCTTTCTGCGGCCGTCTGGAACGCTCTTCCCTCCGATGTCAGGAAGCCACCGGAAATGTGCACTTTTAAATCATCATCTAGATCGACAGACTCATTTCTTTGGAACTGCTTTTTGTGTTTAGTTTGTTGTCCTTCCCACGCTCCTCCGATTAGCACGGTTGGCCACGTACGGTGCGAAAGAAGTTCTACACACACACATACATTGGGGCAAGTTCTGTATGAGAGTAGCACCTACGAAGGCCGGCGCGGCACACCTAATGAAGGGGGTGGGTGGTCGGCACCCACGTCCTGCCACCTTTGTCTCCCGAGTGCCGATGTTCACGTTTATCCGCGACCGGTGCTCATTTTAACGTCGAGTCGACCGAGCGGGAGGACCGGTTCGGGTGTTCGATATCGACGGTGGCCATGAGCGGGAATCGAACTCCGGGTCTCCGGGTTCGTAGCGCTGTGCCGTCAGCCACTGCGCTGCTACCGCCGCTAGATTTGTACACACGCGCGAACGTACGGAGAGGCGCGCGTCGGCTCTGTCCGTCTGCAACGCGGTGACACGGTGACCCTCGTAAAGACGGCTCGGCGTAAATTAAAACGTTTTCTTTGAAGTTGTCCTGCTCTTCCCGAAATTGTTTGCAATTCTGTTACTTATACAAAATGTCTGCCCCTTCTCCCCATCTCCCTGTCTGCTTCCTGTCTCTCCGGCGCTGTTTTGGTTCCTCCATCATCCATCTCTCGATACGCCCATCTGTTCATCCAATCCACACCCATCTATCCATCTCTTTATTTATCCAATCCATCCACTCTTGTGTATCCATAATCCATCCACGTCTCTCTGTCTATCTCTCTGTCCATTTCCTCGTGCATCCCTCTGTCCATGCAATCCATCCATCTTTCTATAACATCCATTTTACATCCATCTCATTATCCATCGAATCGGCCCACCCGCCCATCCCTCCCTCCCGCCTGTCCTCCGCTCTGGCGCGCGTCCTCTTCCTCCTCCTGCCGTGCAGCGTACATCCGCTCCAACCAGATCATGGGCTGGGGCGAGAAGGCGATCGAGATCCGCTCGGTGGAGACGGGACACCTGGACGGCGTCTTCATGCACAAGCGTGCCCAGCGCCTCAAGTTCCTGTGCGAGAGGAACGACAAGGTAGCACCTTCTCCCCCCCCCCCAATCCTGCCCCCCAATCCGTGTGCGTGCGTGTAGGGAGCGGTGGCGTGACGGTTAGCACGCCGCTGCGCTACGAACCCGGCGACCCGAGATCGAATCCCCGCTCACGGCCACAACCTGTGACGATTATGTGAACCGGTTCTGGGCCCTGCCCCCTAGGTACCTGGTGCGATGTGTAAACATCGCCACCGGGGAGACAAAGGCAGGGTCGGGCGTGGTGCTGGCCACCCCCCCGACCCCCTTGTGAACCGAGCTGGAATTCGTAGGTACTCGCTAACAGCACTTACCATAAAAGTCTGTTGAGGCTACACGGGGGATCTTCGTCTTTGTGTGCGTGCACGTGTGTCTTGATCTTTTGTGTGCCGGGCGTGGTGCTGGCCACCGCCCTCCCTCGTGGACCCTACTGTGCCCGTAATCGGCGTCACTTAACAACACTTGCCCCAGCGGTATGTTAAAGCCTATACGGGGGGGTGGGGAATCTTTGTCTTTGTGCGTGTGTGCGTGCGTGCGAGAAGCGGGTGGTGTAGCGGGTTAGCGCGACGAACCCGACGAACCCGAGTTCACAGCCGACATCGGTGACGAATATCTCCGACGGTCTGTTTCAAGGTTACACACGTGTGGGGGTTGTATTTACCTGGTATATACCTGGCGCCGTGTCTGCCTATCTGTTGCCTATCTGTCCGTCGTCATGACTCACCTTTAAAGTTCCCCCGTGGCTTTTTACAGTCGCTGAAGGGCAACGCCTCCCAGGTTTTTCCGGCAGCTGAGATGGAAATAGATGACAACGCATTGGGGCGATGGCCGGGTTTGTGGTGGTGGTGGTGGTGGTGGGTGTGGGGGGTGGGGATTGTCGGTGTGGGGGGGTTGTAGGGCACGTTGTTGAACCCCACCCAAATTAATCACCGAGACAACGCCCCTTTAAATAATCGCGTGTCGCAACGCGGTCGGTAAATTGTCCACGGTCCTTTGCTTCCGCGCGCCTGTTTCTTACGACAGCGCCGCTGTGCAGCGATGTAGCAGCGATGTAGCAATGCACCGACGTAGCAGCGATGTAGCGTCGTGCAGCGACGTAGCAGCGATGTAGCAACACATCGACGTAGCAGCGATGTAGAGCAATGTAGCGACGGGCAGCGATGCACAGCGACGTGGAGAATTCCCGCGATGTAGCGACGGGCCGAGCTGACGCCACGCCAGGATTCGTGCAACCGGCCTGCTCGGTTTCTCCCTTCACCGGATTCTCCGGATTAGAAGACGTTCGGAGGAGTAAGGTGCATCCCCAACCTTTGAGGTCACTTGGAAAAAAGTACCGTACGCAAACGGCACGTTTTACAATGGGGAGGACACGGTGTTGGTTACAGAGAGATGCATTCACAACCCGCCTGAATGAGCGCTGCGTTACCCTCCATGGCGCTCGTCCATTGTTCTGGTTGCTGGCGGCCGGGTTTGGTTCTCGCTGCGGAGAAACGGCGCTCGGAATATCACGGTGTCGTCACGGCAACACTCGCGGCCTCGCAGCAAGAAGGGCCTGGGTTTGGTTCCCGACTCGGACGCCTTTCTGCGGCTAAAGTTTGTACGTTCTGCCGTTTCATGCCACGTGGGGTTTTACTCCAGGTTCTTCAGTTTCCTTCCAATGGAAAAAACACTGCATCTGGTATCGCCCCAAACATCCCAATGCTGAAAGATCACCTGCAAATTACTTAATTGCACAGGCAGCAGCATCACCCCCATACAGCAGAAGTTCAACATGGAATACATAGACTCGCACAGAGACCCATGGACACTCGCACAGAGAGACCCATAGACACTCGCACAGAGAGAGAGAGCAATATTGCTTGTTGTCCTTCCCACGCACCTCCGATTAGCACGGTTGGCTACGCGCGATGCAAAAGAAGTTCTTCATACATACGTACGTCACGCTAACAACACGGCCTTGTCCTCCCTGTGCCTGTCCTCCTGTGTGCGCCAGGTGTTCTTCGCGTCGGTGCGTTCAGGAGGTACCAGCCAGGTGTACTTCATGACACTCAACCGGACGTCCATCATGAACTGGTGAAATCGTCTGCCGGTGGCGGTGCTGCCGGTGCTGGCGGCGGCGTTGGCGGTGGCGTTGGCGGTGCTGGCGGCGGTGCTGGAGGTGGGGTGGGGGGGGCAGCTGCGGTGGAAGCCGCCCAGCAGGGGGTGACTGCCCCTACAGCAAGAACTTCCCCTCCACGAACGGAAATGCAAAATGCAAACAAAAAGCAATTGCAGATTCAACATCCCCAACACCGCGATAAAATAGGAATCGCCGTACGGATGGCGTGTGCGTGCGTGCGTGCGTGTTTTATACAAAACAAAAAAGCTAACGCGAATTTCTAATAATGCAAATAAGACAGACTTTCTTTTTTTCTTTATCCTTTTTTTTTGTTGAATCAAAAGGTAGGGAGAGGGGGAGAGACAGTGTTACGCTGGAGGGGGGTGGGGGGGGTGGGGGTTATGGTTAAACGCGAAACTGTTATCGGCCGCAAACTGCGATCGTTCGCGGCGAGGGCCAGAGAGAGGGAGGCCGGCCAAACGCACGCAATCCCCGCCGCGTGACAGGGCAAGGGGCTTGCGTCTGGGCGAGAGAGAGAGGGAGCGCGTTTCCACTTATGTTTCGGTTGAGCAGCGGTAGCGCGCGGTTGTCGAGCGAACGGGGACGGGGTCGCTGTGAATCTTTTCGCGGGCCGGGCCGTCCCGTGGCCCCGTAGTCGAGCATCGGGCGTCCGGGATTCCCTCGCGCCCCCCCCCCCCGCCCCCCCTCCCCGTCTCGTGTTGTACCGCCACGCGTTGTTCAGCAGCGACGTCCGGCGTTTCAACGAAACTTAGAATTTTTTTTAACTTTAGATTTATTCAAATAAAACTTTACTGTTTTTTATTATTTTTACCAGGTAAGGCCCACTGAGCCATTAGCTTTTTTTTTTTCAGAAGCGACCTGGCTGCAAATGATAGCTCAACGAAGTGGATTATCACGTGGAAACGTACAGCAGCCAAATACGACGCACGTCGATTCTCTGCGGAGGGAAAAACCAGAGGACCCGGAGAAAAATCCACGCGACCACGGGGAGAACAAATATACAAGCGTCGGGGTCAGGATACAACCCCCTCGGCCTCCTGTACACCAGGCGGGTGAGGTCGTTAACATCTTGCCACCGCCCCCCCTGCCCCCGTGAAGATTCTCCCAGCGCGTGGAGCGAAATGTCGGACGTCGTGCGTTTCCGAATGACGAAACGCAACCCGAAACCGCATCCTCGGAGAGCTGCAGGAAGGCAAAAGTTGGACAGATACTTAAGCACGTTTTGAGAAGGGAAACGGGGCACGTGTTGTTTACTGCTGCGGGCGGGGGGGGGGGGGGGGGGGGTCCGTTACCCCGTGCCCGTTGAGACCCGTGACGGGCAGCGTCGTAAGGGGGGCAGCCCCCCCCGGCGTGGGTCGGTGGCGGTGTCCCGCGTAGCCGAAGTTCCGTCGAGAGCTGCGCGGGTCGCGGAGGATGGGGTGGGAGGGAGCGTGGAGACGCGGGAAATGGGAAATGTAAACGGGAAACACGATCGGAGAGCTCGTTATCACGGGTCGGCTTTAAATATGATCACGTTTTTCTTACTTTACCCTTTAAATACCCAAAATTTAACCCCCCCCCCCCGCACCTCACACGGAACGGCCACTTAACGTTCACTTTTTTTATTACTAGTGCAGGATTTTTTGTGTTTGGCAAGTGGTGCCCGGGGGGGTGTAAGGGGATTGACTCTGAAAAAAAAAGACCGGCGAAAGCCTGTGGCCAACAGCCGACGCACAGGGAAGCCACGGGCCCACGTGCACACAGCTATCGCCGTGATCACGCTCCTCCGTGGTAACGGGGGACAGTGGCATCCTGGTACGACCACGACAGCAACAAATAACTCCACGTTCGTGGACGACACGGCCTTGAAAGCAAAAATCAACCTTTAGCCTCTTCTCTTGGTTGCGTCTCTTCGACGTAAAGAAGAGGGGCCGCTTGCCCGAAACGTCGCCTCTCGATTTCTTTGGTTGGCCCTCGGTGGTTATTAATGAACGGTTTGAGTTCGTCGTTTTGCGCTTCTGCAACCACCACCGACGCAGCGTCGCAGCAAACAGTTTAGTCCGATTCGACTGCGGCCTAGCTCGTGTGGAGCAACGATCGTGTTGTGTCCCCGGCGGCGGGACCGGGCCCCGCTCCTACGTGTGGGGGTCTGGCTGGGACTCGCTCAGCGGCCAGTGGTGCCGAGTGTGGACACAGAGGCGCGAGTGGTCAGGGTGCAGCCTCATCCACCTCTGGACTTGAGGCCTGGCCGTTGTCCGTCCACATTTTAAAGAGTTAACTCGAGGCTGTGAAATAACTGGAGCATCGCACCGCAACGGAAGGACTGGCGCAGGCCCGAAAACTAATTAGGTTTAACTACGCGCAGAAGGTGCGCGGCGTTGCGTGTGTGCTAAAGCTCTCGGCGTTATCCAGACCACCAACTCGGTAGAACTGTGAACGGTGCAGCCATCGCGTCGAGCGTTCGTATCCCCGACGCGAACGCCGTTAAATCTGTCACGAGAGGCAACCGTGTCAGCTGAAGCAAAAATCCAAAGCACATCGGGTGGTACTTCTCCACATTCCTATGGAGGGAACCACGTGACAAAAGCAGGATGTCAGCTGCTATAGCCATCTTTTTTTTTGTTACAGGGTTCCGTGAGTTTATTTTTCATAGTTCCACCTGGTCACTCGCGAAAAAAAATAAATGTTTTTGGGACACGGCAGCAGCCAGTCGGATTGGGCCACGCGTCACGTGAATGCCGTCTTGCGTGTCTTGGGCCCTTCCATCAAAGCGACCGAAACAGACGGGCGCGTCGAGAAGGCCACAGCGGCGGATAACGTTTCGTTGTGGTCATTGGTCGTGCCGCAGCCCCCCCGCCCCCCCCCCCGATTGTAAAGCTCTTCTCTCTGTGCCTAATGTAAATAGCTTAGCTGGGGGAAGGTGGGGGGGGTGTGTGGAATTAATTGCGGCTCAGACGTAGCTCAGGTCCGCCGTTTCAAATTGGTACGTTCGTTAAAGTGGGGGGGGGGGGGTGTGGGTGCATCGCGCGTGATGTGTGCATTTTTGTACAAAATGCCGTAGTGAAATGACGGAGGAAGAAAAAAATGTGACTAAAATTTAAAATATCGAAAGCAACGGCAAGAATTAAAGGCGTTATATTATTTTGTATTGCGTACACACTATTTTGAAAACTCGCCTAAGCCGGGGGGGGAGGGGGGGTAGGGGGGAGTATTTTAAACGCCCATTAAAGTTTAAGGTTAGCAAAACATTCGTCATTTTTTTCTTGATCATAACAACAACAACAAAAGTGTTTCGTTTAAAGCGTGCAGACTCCGCGGAGATGCTTAGGGGTCTTCTAAACAATCTGAAAAGTCACGTCGTTTTCTTAATCGCTAATAACGGCGCCGTCCACAGTGGCTGTGTAACATTGAGCATCGCTGGACTTGCGATCCAGAAGTCGCCGGTTCGACTCTACCTCCCTTCCGCAGCGGTCGGAACGGCGATGTAAAAATTGGGGGTCCATAGCGTGATGGGCGGGTCGCGCGCCGGCGGGATAAAACGTGGTTAACTCCCACCTCTTACAAAAAACAAAACTGTCTGCCCAGCGTGGAAGTGCGGGGTCAAAATAATGCTCTGCGTGGCAGTTGAAACTGTGGTGCAAGTTTACTTAGATCACCACCACCACCACCAACAACCACCAACCAAACCTCTCTTCCACCCAGCGGTAGTAGAAATGCAGATAGCTAGTCGATCGGCAGGTCGCGTGCGGCGGGGTAAAGTGTGGGCCTCCGTTTATTGGGAGGGGGGGGCCCTTCCTTCCCGCCAGCGGTGGTGCGAGCAGACGATTAACAGCGCTGCACCATTATCTGTTTATGATGATGCCAAGGGGGAGCCACCGCAGGGCTCTTTCTATCGCTCCCGCCGCCGCCCGCACCGAATGTCTCGTTGGGTTTTTTTGCTGCTGTAGATTTGGGTTTGCTGCGTTTTAAAAAAAAAAAGACTTCCTGCACTGACTGACGCAGGATCACGCGCGCACGCACGCACGCAGAATCGCGATGATCCACTGCCCGCCACCCCCAAGGGACACGTTTTCTCAGAGCCTAACGCAGCACAAGTTTGTTCTTATTATTGGTGTCGGATCTTTAAATATCAAAACACAGGAGTTAATTTAAAAAAAAAACATCTGCTCTGTAAGGTGCTGCGTTTCATTTTATTGTTCCCGTCTTACCTGGTGCTTGCTGGCAACATCATCTGGCCAAGTTGGGCGCAAATTAGCGGGTTTTAAATTTTGACTTTTCGCGCTGGTGTAGGGTTTTTTTTTCTTCCCTTCCCCCTCCTTGACGTTCGTTAAAGTCGACGCGCACGATTCGCCATCACGTATTGAGACTCTTTTTTTTTCGGTATATATATTTCTCTAGATTGTCTTTTTTTTGAGGAAGGACTGAACATTTCAACGACCGCCAATTAAACGCCTGGTACACCACAGAATCGTTGTTCATCTTGCAGTGGCTCACATTGTTGTATGTGTTCGATTTTTTTTTTCTGGAGTTATTTAACGAATTTTTGTTTTGTTTCGTCACTGGCACGTTTTCTTTTAGTGCGTTTATGTAAAATACGAATTCTTTTGAAAAAAATCATCGGCACGTGCCTCAAAAAAGTAGACTTAAGGAGTGGGGGGGGGGGGGGGCCCTGTTTGCGATTAAATGTTTCTGTAATTCTTAAATGGCGTAATTTTTCTTTAAGATTCAACAAAAATTAAGCTAATCAGGAAGAGCTGCTGGCTCTCTTGCCATCACGGGGCGGGGAGATGTCGTGTATACGGGCGCTTTGTTTTCGCCGTGAGGGCGCTCTGCAATGGCCAACAGCATTATAATGTCGTTATCTCAAAATAAAAAAACGGTGACGATGTTATATTTCGTCGTCGAAGCGTTCGGTGCTTCTTGTAAACGTCGACCGTGAGCGGACGGACATCCGTCATCAAGCGTGTGACCTTGACTGCCACTGGTACTCGTCCAACGGCCCAGAGCACGGCCGACTATGAATAGGCAACTATTCAGACTGAAGACGCAGCCTAGTGATTCCTTGCATGTTGAACTTCTTTCGCACCGTACGTAGCCAACCACTGGGGAAGACCAAACATGGGATACAATTATTGGCTAAATGAGTTTCAAAAGATTTCCGAGGTCGATCGACTAACTTTGTTGGCTGACTTGATAATATTTACAAGGGCGGAAGAAATGGCATTACCGCTCGCACCAACATTTAAAAACCGCGGTGGGCTAAAATACTCGATCCACTTGAGTCAACGAGACTTGAAGGGGGGGGGGGAGGGGGCGGTGGTGGGAGGTGTCCCTGTACGAAACCTCCCAGGACCGCACGAGTATTTCGCACACGTCGTCGTAAAATAAACACGGACTACTAACCATGAACACTTTCGAGTGCGCCAGGAGTTTCACGCCCGGCGGTGCCTTGGCCCCGAGTCACGACGCCGCCGCCGGCCTGCTCTCGCCCGTGTCCAGGGGGGAGCTCGGATGGTGCCGCGGCTGTGGCCGTGATCTTCGCCCCCCCCACCCCACCTCCTTGCCGGCACGTCCGATTAGCGCGGTTCACAACGTACGGCGCTGCGAACGAAGTTCAAGATGCGTGCGTGCGTAACGTCGCCCCACCGCCCTTTGCTGCTGCGGTTTTTGCGCCGCGCTTTATAAACGCCAGGCCCCCCTCCTACCTTACTACCTACACACTACGCCCTGTGCAAGGATGAGCATTTCCCCCCCCCCCCCACAAAAAAAAGCAAAGCCAGACGAGAAACGGAGGTCATCGATGCGTCTGTGTAATTTAAGTAAAGCAATACCGCATTGACGACGTTGATGGGACACAATTTTACACCTTTAGGCGTAAGCAATATTTCAACGC